CAGGTGTGCGTACCTGTTGTTGTGACATGTGCGTACCTGTTGTTGTGCAGCAGTCGCTGTACACGCTCAGCCAGCTGAGACATCTGTGCCTCGATGTCCGACTGAGCCTGAACATATCACACAGGAACATTAATCAAAAAACATAAATCAATATAATAATCTATATTCTAAATATTTTTTTATTTTTACATTTTTTTTAAACTATGTTCAATTTCACTCTTCACCATGATGAACGACATAATGAACAAACATGTCATTTAATTTAAATCAGACATTTTGATACAGACATTAAATTTATTGAAAGAGCACTGTTTTTACAGAACGGATTACAGATTATTATCATTTTATTATTATTTTGTTCTCAGACATCTCTGAAACATCATTCTACAGGTTAAAAAATATGTTTTAAATGGGACAACCCTGAACTGATCCAGGGTGTGAAGTGAGACATTTTTTTTTTACAAGACACATTATTTGTTTTGTAATAAAACATCTTCTCCACCAGCTGCAGACGCTGATTACCTTGATGAGAGGAGCAGTAGCAGCCGCTACAGCTGTAGCGGCTGCTACTGCTGCCGTGTTGCTGGTGTCCCCCAGGTGACAGGAGTATGGATCCGGCTCAGTCTGAACTGCCACCACACTACCTGGATCCTGACCCATCAGAGGGTTCTGAGCGTCTGTAATGGGTCGTAGCAGCCTTGGCTCCAGCAGCTGCACGCTGACCTCCCTCCTGCCGGGGGCTCTGTGACAGCTGAGCAGAACCGACCCAGATGAAGACGGCAATATTATCAATAAAAACAACACAAAGAAGCGGCAGTAAATTTTAAATTTCTTAGCATAAAACAGGGATTCAGTCTGTCTCTTTATGAGGTCAACACTCTCATCAGGTCTATGTGAGACAAAGTCTCTGTGGGACTGGGTCGCTCTGTGGGACTGGGTTGCTCTGTTGGACGTAATCAGAATGTACTGGAGTCTCTCTAGTCTGGGTGTCCCTGAGTTTTTGTTGGACCTGGTCTGGGTGTCGCTGCCTCTCAGTCTTAGTAGAAGCAGCAGCATTGTGTTTTTTCGCTGCAGATTTTTAATTGTTTAGTAAAATCTGATTTTTTTGGACCCTGGGTTTGACCAGTTTTCTCACCGTTGTCTCAAAGCCTGGAGGACAGCTCCTCTCTGTCCAGTGGTGAAGCAGGACGTCAGCAGCTCCGGACCTGAGGACGGCGATGGAAGCAGAAACATTTCAGAAAGAAAAATTCAGCAAAAACAAATCAGTGTTAAAATTTCAACTGTGATATTTTAGACAAACACAAAACCACAAGAACTAATCGTAACGCTCCTTTTAAAGTGAGCCATAATCTGTCAAATATGTATATATAAGTTAGTTAAGTTTAAAAAAATCATGTCATGAATCACAAAGTAGGAGAGGTGATATCACTTTTTGAACATTTAAATTATTTATTATTACCAAAATTCTAATTCCCTTTGATTAAATTAAGATATTTTAAAGAAGAAATAACGTTTCTGTCCGAAATTTTAATGACTGTTGCCTGGATGAAAATCAAATATGTTTCAATATTTCTTCAAATATGTTTTTTTTTCAGCTTCTCCCTTCTTTAGGGGTCGCCACAGCGACTAGTCGGACGAATTTCTTCAAATATGTTTCAGTATGTGAAAAACATAAAAGGCTTAGAAGTATATCAATTTTATAGTTTAATGACAGTAAAAAAAAAAACTTTTCCTATTTTGTCTCATTGGAAAAAGAAACATATCAGCTGCAAGCTTGAAGGATGTTTAGTCATTTCAGGAAAGAGGACACATAATTAAAAATACAGATATAACTAATTTAAAATATAGTTAAATTAAATGAACAATTATTAAAATGTGTATTCAATTTAAAAAGTAATTTATATGAATAATTAAACAAACGTTTTAATTTTAAAACTCCTTTTTTATTAAAAAAAATATATATAAGGATAAATAATTTAATTTATTTATTACAAAATAAAAATAATAAGTAACCTTAAAGGTTATCAGAATAAAAATCTAATTTATTACAAAAACTAAAATAAACATTAGCATCTGGTTGATTTCCTCTTTCTGAAGATTTTCAGAATAAAACCGCAGAACTAGTTTCCGGTTTCTCCTGTTACTATGGTAACAGACCAAAAGACGAAAGCAAAAACTAAAAGCTTTTTCCCAAAGTGAGCCAGAACGCACCCAAAAACGGATGCATGTGCTAATTACCTTCACTGCTGCGGGTTCGGATAGACCGGTTCTGATCGAACTGGAAGGCCGCTGATCCCCGGTCCGAATCCATGTTGTCTGATTTCGGTCCTGGTCTAATTTGTCGAGTCTGGTTCTGCTGGGTCCGATGGAGCTGGAGAGGGTCCCGCAGCTTCTGGACGGTGATGTGGACCGGCTGGGCTCCATCTCCGTAGTCCGGAACACGAGTGGAACGGATCAAAACCTCCCCGGCGTCCGAACTGCAGGAGGACGGATTCGAACTGAGATCCGGATCATGTAACATGATGTAAACTCCTGGGTCTGGTTTTTAAGTGACTTGGGTCAATTATTAGCGAACGCGTTTTCAAATTTCCCGCTTTAGCATCTTTTCTCTAAAAAGAAGCTAAAATGGCCAACGCGTCAAAATTATTTTTATACAAGAGTTTAAATAAAATGAAACTCCGAAGGAGGTGGCAAAACACTTCATTCAAAAAAGTTCAGTGTAAAAAACTGTCTGAAAAAAACAACAACAGTTCTCTTAACTTCCGCCTCCTCACAGTTTCTTCTTCTACTATTTAATTTATAGCAGAGTCTGGCTTTTCAGACTGTTCTGCTGCGCCCTGCAGGATAAGAAAACATTTGACCCCCAGCTTGGAGGTTAATTTTTTAATTATATTTCCGAGGGTCTCTCTGATATGGAGGATGGCTTCATGTGACAAAAACACCCTCCATAACATACTCTGAACGCCACATTGTTTTAAAATCTATAATTTTACATCTTGTCCTTGGGGTGGCGATAATGCTCCTACAGTGATTAAACTCAAGAAGAAGACAAAGGTAAACAGTTTTTGTGACACTTTCGTCACAGTTTGTTCCTAGCATTCTATTTTTCAAAACCATTTAAGCTTGGTATTTATGAAAAGTACAACATAATTTAGAGAGAAAAATATTATCTGGAACGGCTCTAAAATGAAGGGAATTATACAGAAATTTTAAACGTTTGAAAGTTTTGTGCGGAATCTGCGACTGAGAGTGCATCTGCGCCCTTCATGGTTCTGAGACGGACACACGACGGTTCCGACTCACGCAGGTAACATAAACATCTGTCTTATACACGGGTTTAATGTTGTTGGTTCGGTTTATTGTTGTTTGGTCAAAGAATTAAGATAAAACAAACATGGAGGCTGTTAACAGCGAATTTAGAGCTGAACGTGTCCGGCGCTGTTGGACGGTTCAGTCTTTACAGATAATTTAACTTCTGATACGTACATCGTTTTATTTAACAACTCTGAGAAGACGAAACTTTCATAGCGAGTTAAAAGTGACATTTTAAAAAGACCGGTTTATGAAGCAGCTCACAGAAAAGGGGAGCGTTTGTAAAATGTGTGGTTTTTTGAATGAAGTCTGGTGTGTCTCCAGAGTGAAGCATGGCGGCGGCCCAGGTGTCCGAGTCCGACCAGATCAAGCAGGTAAGCCCTTTATTTTACCTTTAAAACTTGCAGTTAGCCTTTTTTTAACTAAAGGTCTAACGTTCCTGAAGGAATCCATATCGCCTGCTGTATTGTATCTCATTGGCTGTCTCGAGATTTCACGCTCACGTTGCGTGTTGGGGATGATTCTCGGCTACTACCATACCTAAATTAATTAATTATCAATCAAACTGATTGAATACATTAATTATTAAAATCAGTACAGATTCTTCATGTTGAAACGTTTCATCTTTTATCCAAAAGCCTTTATCAGTCTGAGGAGCTGCAACAAACTCAGTCTTATAAACAGCACCTGGATCAACCAGTTTGTTGTTGACATCCAGAACTAGCTGTCATGATGAAGGACCATCAGCCTAACAATTGGTCGTTAGTGGCCTGATGACTTCACAGAGGGCTGAGTGATACTAGCAATAACAGCATTGTAAGAGGGGGACAGTTTGACACAGAGGCCTCCTCCTCTGTGTAATGATGGACAGTTTCTCTTCACAAAGATGGCCTCCTTCACTCTTCTGTCAAACCATCGTTCCTCTCTATCCAGGATGTGAACATCTTCATCCCTGAAAGAGTGACTGCTAGCCTGCAGATGAGTGTAGACCGCAGAGTCCTGGCCTGATGATGTTGCTCTTCTGTGCTGGTCCACCCTTTTGGCCAGTGGCTGTTTAGTTTCTCCGATGTATTTAGATTAAATACATTGGTTCAAATACATTTTGATGTATTTGAGCTGATCACAGCCCTCCTGACACAACATTGCTGTTTGTGTCAGGGGACTGGATCTTTGGGATGAACCAGTCTTTGCCGTCGTGTATTTTGGGGTTTAAAAGCCACTGGGACGTTGTGTTTAGAAAACAAATGTCTGTTTCTCTGAAACTCCCACAACATATGGAATGACCACTGGAAGGATGGCCCAGCACAGAAGAGCAACATCATCAGGCCAGGACTCTGCGGTCTACACTCATCTCCAGGCCAGCGGTCACTCTTTCAGAGATGAAGATGTTCACATCCTTGATAGAGAGGAACGATGGTTTGAGAGAGGAGTAAAGGAGGCCATCTTTGTGAAAAGAACCCGTCCATCATTAAACAGGGGTGGAGGCCTCCGGGTTCAACTGTCCCCCTCTTACACTGCTGTTATCACTAGTATCACTCAGCCTCCTGTGAAGTCATCAGGCCACTAATGATCAATTGTTAAGCTGATGGTCCTCCTTTATCATGACAGCTAGTTCTGGATGTCAACAACAAACTGGTTGATCCTCTATGAGAAGGTGATGTTTATAAGGCCGAGTTTGTTGCAGCTCCTCAGACTGAAGAAGACTTTTGGGTTAAATATTAAACGTTTCAACAAGAATCTGTCCAGAGGACCTGACTCTACTTTGTTAGATTTTTCTACCTGGATTATTGATAATGCATCAGGATACAGCCGTTATTGTTTTCTTAAACAGGTTGACTGTGGTGGCCATCTTGAAATATGTTTGTTCCAAAAATTAATTTACTGAAAGTTGTATTGAAATGTATCCAATAGTTCACAAGATATTTTGTTAACAGAGAGTGTTGACTCCAAAGACTTAATGGCATCAAGATCTTGTGCAGTTTATGTGTTGGAGATCAGTCTCATTTATCAGGTCATTTTTGTGTTTACTGTCGGTTGGCTGTGGCGACCATCTTGACTCCAGTAATCTAGTGGTGTCTGAGAGTTTCATTAAAATTTCTCTGACATACTCAGAAGAAAACATTAAAGTCCAGAAGTTGTTTCACGGTTTCTGAAGTGAATCAGTTTAAATGTTTGTGGTCACCTGCATGTAGCTGTTCAGTGAAGTGTCTGTTTCCTGTTTCAGTTCAAAGAGTTTCTAGGAACGTACAACAAGGTGACGGAGAACTGTTTCATGGACTGCGTCAAAGATTTCACCGGGAGAGACGTGAAGCCAGAGGAGGTAAACGAAACAGGATGCGTCAAATCACAGTTACAAACAGCAGATCATCTTTAAGAGCACAGAGTTCTGGGAGGTTTTAATTTAAGTGTTTTTCACATTTCTTTTTTGTAATTTTCGAGACAGTTTTGCCCGTCAGCAGCTTCCTGTAGGTTTCTTTTGGCACAATTGACCACAAGAAGATGTGCCGACTCAAGCAATTAGTCTGTTCAGAACAAAGAAGGGCGAGCTAACGCTAGTTTAGCACTTCAGCTGACTCATCTGCAGTCAACTTCAGAGATCTGTGATTTTTTTCTGAACATTATGTACGGAATAAGATATTCCTCTATAAAAGATAATAAAGCTACACTTATTTTAGGTTTCTATAAGATTTCACACTGGTATAACAGGGTTTAACATGATTATAACACAGTTTAATGCATGGCTTTCCTCAGTTGTAACATTTTAATGCAATATAACATAACTTCCTGCAGGTTTAACATTATTTCTTATTGTTATGACATGATTTTATACAGGTCTATCATGGTTAAAATGTGGTTATAACACATCTTGCTACAGTTATAACATGATTTCACACTGGTATAATACGGTTTAACAAGAATACTCCATCGTTAAATGCAGCTATAACAGGCTTTCCACCAGTTCTGCATATTTTAATGTGGCATAACGTTATTTCACATTGTTATGACATGGTTTAATTTGAGTACAAAGCAGTGATAACATAGTTATAACACGTTATATGCAGTTCCAATGGTTAAAATTAGCTTATGCGGTTATCACACAGTTTAATACACTTAAATGCAGTTAATTGTTATAACAGTTTGTTTTTAATGTGGTTAACACATTTTAATATAGTCATAACATGCTAAAATGATTTTACTTATAAAATTATTAAATATGATTTTAGTGAATCTGTAACTGAAAGAAAATCTTTGGCTCCAGTTTGGACCAAGGTCTTTGGACCTGTTTTAAGGGGAACCAAACAAGTTATCATTCAGTGTCTGTCATCATCACATGATCCGGTTCTGTTGTTGTTCATGTGGTTCCAGTCCAGCTGCTCCGAGTCCTGCCTGCAGAAGTACCTGAAGATGACCCAGAGGATCTCCATGCGCTTCCAGGAGTACCACATTCAGCAGAACGAAGCTCTCGCTGCAAAAGCCGGACTGCTGGGCCCGCCTCGCTGAACTGCTCATAGTCCCGTTCCAGCTGGGCCGCGGTCTCCAGAAGAAGGACTGAACTTGTTCTGTTGTAGTTTCATCCTGAGCCAGAGCTCCAACACCTGACCGTACCCCCACACCATGAAGGTCCTGCAGCTCCAGAGCAGAGTCCAAGAACCTGATCTGTAAAACCTGTTCAGGTACCATCTGCGTATTTATGTTAGATTTTTATAAACTTGTTCAATCTTGTTGGATTTATTTCTTGTTTTTGTCAGGAATGAATAAAACATATGATCATTAAATTCTTTGATCTTTTTTTGTCCAGCGACTAAATGTAGATTTAATATAACGTCGTAACAAACGTAGTCTTTTTAAAGAAATGACTGCAGACGCCGTTTGTTTGTTTGTGCTGAATAGTTCAGACCCGGACGTGTTTAACTTCCTAAACCACCGATTTAAAGGGAATCTTTTTGCATTTGAAGCCACAGAACTTCATTAAAACTGAAAAGTACATGATTCTACTTCGTGCACAGATTTGAGCCAACACGCTCCCAGCTGGTTGTTGTGCAGCCTCTCAGCTCCTCTCAGTGTCACGTTTCTCCTCTTTTCATTAGATTTCTCTGTGTTCTTAAAATCTCTGACTTTATTAATCATATGCTCCACCTCATGTCCAAATATGGACACTTCCTGCTCAACCACAACTTGAAGCTGTTCCCAGATCAGTGGCTGTTGTGTTGTTCAGGCTCGTGTTTGAGAGGCTGAAGGCAGGAACAGAACCTCATGTTCTTCATTTATCTGGACTCCTGGTTCTAGGTTAGAACAAAAAACTGATTGTATGGAGAAAAACACTTCGCTGTCAGGAGTAAGGATTTATTCACAGGATGTATCTAATAATAAAAAGACACTTTATGGGGTTTTTGAAAATCACCTAGGCTAAAAAAAACTGATTTTATGTCGGTCAGTCTTTGTTTTTATTTATATTTTTGTCATATAAATATCTGAAGAAATTAAGTTTCATTATTGATGCAAGCTGCCAAAAAAGCACCAAGACCTGCGTTTAATTTTTCTCTCTTCCAAACGTTATTGCACAGAATATACTCTTAACAACATAAATACAAAATATACATAACACATTTGAAAATATTGAGCAGGGATTTACTGGGAGAAAGAAGAGAAGCATTTACAGAAATATTGAAGATGATCCATAATTTGTATTTTTTAATGAGTTCAGGTTCAGTGGTCTCAGGATTTGCTATTTGCAGATGATGTGGTCCTGTTGGCGTCATCGTGCCGTGATCTTCAGCTCTAACTGGAGAAGTTCACATGCGAGTGTGAAGCGGCTGGCATGAGAATCAGCACCTCCACATCTGAAGCCAGGGTCTGCAGTCAGTAAAGAGTGGACCGTCCTCTCAAGGTTCTGACCTAATTGGAGGAGTAAAGTATCTCGGGGTTTTGAATGGAGTGTGAGATCCACAGATGGACTGGTGCAGCGTCTGCAGTATTGTGGCTCTGTGCTGGTCTGTTGTGGTGAAGAGGGAGCTGAGTTGTAAGGAGAAGCTCTCTGTTTACCAATCAGTCTCCTGAACTCTGGGTAGACTGAAAGAACGAGAATGTGGATCCAGGAGTTCTACATTTGTTTTCTCTGAAGGGTAGCTGGACTCTCCCTTAGAGACTGGGTGAGAAGTTCAGTTCTCCAAGAGAGACTCGGTAGAACCGCTTCTCCACATCCAGAGGAGACAGGTGAGGAGGTTCAGACAACTGATAAAGATGGACCCTGGACGCCTCCCTAGGGAGGTCTCTCTGTCTCTCAGCTGATCTGGGAACACCTTGTGGTCCTTCTAGTGGAGCTGGCTGTGGAAAGAGATTTCTGGACAATCCCTGATCAAGCTGCTGACCCCGAGACCTGAGTCCAGAACTAGATGATGGATGGACGGACTGAGTTTTTGTCACCTCATTTATAATGTTGACAGTACAATTGTATATAAAGTTTAGTTAATCTTAAGTGGTTTAAATGTGGTTTTCTGTTATGGAACATCAATGATTTAAAAAAGCTGAATTGACCCTCCTGCTGCCCTTGGGTCAAAATCAGGCCTTGTGGCTAAGGGCAGCAGGAGGGTTAAAACAAAAACACAGTTCAGCTGAAATAGTCCTAAAATAAATCAAGAACTACGTTTACCTCCACGCTGAAGCCTGGAGTGACTGCCAACTCCGTCACTGCTACGCGTGACGTCACAATCCCGCTCGTGTCTCCTGTGTTGCTCTTCCTCCTCATCCTTACAGCCCTGCACACTAAACACTACGTGGGTATTGAAAATACTCAAATGCTTTTTTTAACGATCCAACATCCTCTCCATTGATTCCAGTTACCAGATCACATATCAGACATTAATAAACTTGCTTATAAGGTTTTAATTCACTATAAGCGCAAGACCAAGCAAGAGTGGGGTGTTATTGGATCTTTTCGTGCGACATTTGACCAGATTTCAAGGCTTTGTATAAATATGTTTGGATATTGATAGAAACGACTGAAATCTTAACGCAAAACATGTTAAATTAACAGATTTTTTTGTATGAAGTTTAGTGCGCAGATACCCAGCACGTAGCTGGGCTGGGCTTCCCACGCTGTGGGTACAAACAAGGAAGCCCGCTCAGCCAATCAGAAGGCACGGCTGCTGGAAACGGAACATGCAGGTCCAATCACAGCCTTCCTTTGTGTCTTTTTTCCGCTTTCATTTCAAATCGTCTCTGATTGGACAATTCACCTTCGGTTGTCGTCATTTCCCTCGTGGCGCCGTGTTCGTTTCAACCAAAGAGCGAGCTCTCCGATGCGCGTCCAATGGAAATGGAAGAAAAGCTCCACCAATCAGATGCCTCGCTCATGACTGCCGCTGTCATCTCAGCCAATCAGGAGCCAGGAAACCCAGCTCGGGGCTCAACAGCTTGTTGTTCGTGAATCGCTTCGCAGCCCGAGCAAGAGAGGAAGCAACGGCGGCGGTGAATGTAAGTATAAACCTTGATAATCTTTTCGAAATAACGTTTTCCCACGACCCGGCCAGAGCGGGGCACGTTCCGGACCGGTGAGCCGGGAGATGTGCGCGGGGAGGGGCGGCTGGATGTTTCGTCCGACCGAGCCGCGCTGTGCGAACTGAATGGCAGTGAAGAAATGTGAAGCTCCTGCGCCTTTGTGGAAGAGCCGCTTATTAAATAAATAACGTCCCATCAGCTCCAGCTCCGTCCAATGTCACGGTTCGGCGGAGTAAAACTCCACTCGTCTTCGGAACCGAGCGGCAGGTCGTGTAGTCTCGGGTCGAACCTGCTCGTTTCTGCCTGTTTAAATCGCCCTGTGATGACCAACTGGCTAGTTTTAGCCAACTAGCTAATGTCGCTCCGGACGGGAGAGCGAGCTCGGCAGATCCCGCTCGGTTCGCTCGCTCTTCGGACTTTGTTGTGGGTCGGGGGTTCGGTTGTTCGGAACGGATTTCTCTCCCAGCGGCGGACGGGTTGGACGGGGGGCGGACATGGGGGTAAAGTTAGCCGAGCTAACTGACATGGCGAGCCGTGATGGCGACGTGACTCGGAGGCGCTGGGAGCGGAGCGGGAAGTCGGAGGGCTCCTCTCCGACGGTTCTGCTGCCGCTTTGAGACCCGAACCGAGCCGTTCACCGAGCCCGCACTCACCTGGACTTCACGCTTAGGCTGCTGGTTAAGTTTGTCCGGGCTGTTCGGAACACATATTTACTGATCCGGGTTGAAGGAGGGGGAGGAGCGAAGAATGCCCGAGCTAACACAAGCGCGTGGCTAGGTGGTTAGCTCCGGTTCTGATATGACCCAAAGGTTCTGAACTCAACCTGCTGAGCGCCAAAGGGTTCTGCCCTGAACCCATAAAGCTCTAAAGGTTCTGACTTAATTCTAGCTCGGCTAACCAGCTTCTTTGACTCATCACAGTTCTGAAGAACCTCTTGACTAACCCAAACTCTGGTTCTGTTTTTCAGTGATCCTTCGAGCTGGACTCCCTGGACTAGCCGAGGAGATGAAGGTGAGTGTTGGTGCTGACACACAAACCCAGCCCTTGGTCCAGGGCAGCAGCTTGGAACAGGTTTAGGTTCAGTTTCAGTTCTGTAGGACCTGACTGGTGTCCCAGTGATGGACCACTGGTTTCAGTCCAAAACCATTTTTGCCATCTGGACTGAAAATAGCAGCAGCAGCTTTAAATGAAACTCAGTCGCCTGCCTGAGGAAAGGAACGAGTAAAATAAAAGTTCTGTTTGGAGAACTGGGCAGAACTTGAATGTTGGATCCGCTGAACGACTCGTTGCATCGAGTCACTTTAAACGTTTAGAAAGCTGCTCTAAGAAACGTCCATCAAAGATCTCAACACGTGCAGGAAATAAGTCATTTACTAAACTCGTTGCTTTATTATTTTGTATCAGCTGAAACATACAGTTATAGAGCGTCAATAAGAACTATTTATGTAAAGAAAATGTACAAATTAACCCCTGAAACAACTGATGTGATGGATGAGCCTTTAGGCTCCTCATGCTGCAGTTATAAAACAATTACTGATGCATTTCAATTATCTGGGGGGGTCTAAATCTAATCAAGTTTTATTTGTTGTTTGTGGATATTTGTTACTGTCACAGTTTATGGCTTCTTTATCTGATAAAAAATATTAGAAATTATTCTTTAATGTTTCATCTTTGCATTCACTTATCAGTGGCTGCCGTGGATCCACATGTTATGATCAACCGTGCAGTAATGGACATTTGGCTGTCATCTAAAATACCATGAACTAATTTATAAATACATTTGCATATAAAAGTTAATGAAAAGCAGTTGTAAAGGACAAAACTAGAGTTGGAGCGTCGAACTTCAATACCCGAAGTAGCTATGAACCTTTTTTAGCACGTGGTGCCCGATTGTACGCATCAGTAACTGTAAAAATTGGAAATGCTATATTAGAAGCTAATGTTGTTAGCACTGTGGGTGTTCTTGTGGTTACTGAATTCGGTCATGTTTTGATAACTTCAGCTGTTTTAGACACAAGTTTTTCAGCTTTTAGACCAGAAAAGATTTACTGCAGCATGTTTCTACTACAGGAAACTACGGGAAGTCCACTGGGACACACGGCAGCAACTACTCATCTGAGCTTCCACTCTGTTCAATAAAACCCATTTTTGACTTTTTGAAAACTGATTGAGTGCGCTGGATATCCTGATGCATGCTCAATGATCCAGGTAGAAAAATCTAAACAAGTCGGGTCCTCTGGACATTTGTTTTTTTGAATGTCCAGAGGACCCGACCACTTTTTAGAGAGTGCTGGATGTTTCCACCAACATGAAGCTGTGTGGCGCAGACTAACGGGTTCATGTGTAACATCAGAACCGCTTCCTTTGTTACAAACATGAGAACAACATGTTTAAAGTCACTCTGTAAGGAGCTATATACTGTCAAATTGGAAGTTTCGTTTTTCTTATGTTAAAATTTTATTCATCAAGTTTATTTAAAACAACTGAGGTTGGCCAAGTGCTATACTGTCAAACCAAACAATACAAAAATAAGAATAAAAGGTGCCTATCGAGCACTGCAGTCATAGGTAAAACTAGTGCAAGCTCTGTTTAAATCAAAAGCTGAAGTAAAAGCAATGATTTAAAAAGATAAAAACACAATCCTTATGTTTTAATCTGGATTTCAGGACATCCAGGAAAAAACATTTGGAGGACCAGAGTCTTCCTGGTGTGTAGCTGTTAGGATCAGTTAAGTATGTTGGCATTACACCGTGTAAAAGTTAAAATTTTACACCTGTTCAGGTAAAACCTGATGTCTGACTTATTTTTAGTGAAATTAACTTCCTGTGCCAACAATTGTTTCAATGACTGGATCATTAATAGAAAGGGGGGTCCAAGACTATGGTCCTAATGTCATTACTGACATGGTCTGGTTTTGTTGTGCAGGTTCTGGTTCTATACATGCTCCAGCTGATGTGCGTGTGTGTTTCAGGCAGCAGATGAGCCTGCCTACCTGACCGTGGGGACGGAGGTCAGCGCCAAGTACAGAGGAGCCTTCTGTGAAGCCAAAATCAAGACTGTTAAACGCATGGTGAAGGTCAAGGTAAGACCCGGGCCCACAGGTTTGGACAGGTGTAATGGATCACTTATCGTTCAACCAAAGACATGCATGTTAGGTTCATTGCTAACTAAACTGACATGATGCGAACGGTAAGATCGCTCCGTCCACTTGGAAAAGTAACCCAGGGTGAGCGAACCTGACAAACTAGCAAGATGGCTGTAATGGTGGAGGTAGTGAAGCTCACGGCGTTACCTGAGGCATTTCTGCCTTATCAGCAAACATTAAGGCAAAGAAGACGGGCAACAAACATTTTTCAAAGATACTACCGGTAATACCTTAAAATAGTTACTGCAATAGAGGTTTTCATGCCGCAGAGCGACACAGGGCGATAATTTATTCTGAAATTCAGCAGGCTATGCACTGAGTGTAAACTTTACACAACCTAATAAACGCTTTGTGTTTTAACTGATCAGAGCAAACAAAGACTAAACTTATGCAACCAGAAGTTACAATATATCTACACACAAAACATAATGATTTAACCATTAAGCATACAATGTAATTATGGAGGATTTACCTGCGGTTACCTTCATACAGATGAACATGTGGTGGTTCCTGTTGATCGTTGTCGTATCAGCTGATCATCAGGTCGGCTGCAGGCCTTTATCCATCTTTTATATTTTTCCAGACTTTGTTTAGGCTTTTGGAAATGGAATAAACTGTATTTCACCCTCTAAACACTCAGGGTAACGTGTGTCTGAATTGCATGTTCCCTGCTGACAACATTTATCCATTTTTTTCTGATTATTTTTCATAAAATCCCTCTGACTGCAAAGCGTCTATAATGCAAAACTCCGACAATGTTGTCGGAGGAAAAGAGAGTCAGTTCCTGCAGGTAAGGGGCGTAGGGACAAATTGCGATCGCTGATTGGTCGGTTGCTGACAAACCTACTGGATTGATTGACAGATTGATTCAACCTTTAGTTGTACAGGTTAGTCTCATTGAGCCTCAGGGACTCATTTACAAGAGAGACCTGATTAGAATGGCGTCATGGCGACCAGATGGTGTCATGTCAGTTGTCCTTAGGTGTGGATTTGAATGGTGTTTGTCTCTCTCGGTCCCTTTGATGGACTGTGACCTGTCCTTGTGTCCCCCATCTCTCCAAGCTGGCAGAGGAGGAGGAGGAATGATGAAGCAGAGAAAAGGTTTCGCTCAGTTACCTGATGACATCAGATGATGTCACATTTTCTCTTGGCTGTCTGACCAGTCCTCTGCCAGCTTCAGTGATGAGTTCAATGTCTGTTGTCTGCATCTTCACCACGGACACATTGACCCTGAGGACAAATGCCTTTAGGACGAGACAAAAATTAAATAAATAAAATAAATTTAGAACTCTGTAGGACGGTACAGATTTCTTTAAGACACTTTCTGTCGGTCTGGGGACAAGTTGACTTGTTGTCCACCTGTTTGTCTCTGGACACCCTTAGTGTATGTTAACTTGTTGTCTATTTGTAGACATGTGGACCTGCTATATGTCTGTAGACACGTGGACCTGACGTCCTCCTGTCTGTAGACACGTGGACCTGACGTCCTCCTGTCTGTAGACACGTGGACCTGATGTCCTCCTGTCTGTAGACACGTGGACCTGATGTCCTCCTGTCTGTAGACACGTGGACCTGATGTCCTCCTGTCTGTAGGCATGTGGACCTGTTGTCTGTCTGTAGACGTGGACATGTTGTCCTCCTGTCTGGAGACGTGGACATGTTGTCCTCCTGTCTGTAGACGTGTGGACCTGTTGTTTGTCTGTAGACATGTGGACCTGCTGTCCTCCTGTCTGTAGACATGTGGACCTGCTGTCCTCCTGTCTGTCTGGAGACATGTGGACCTGCTGTCCTCCTGTCTGTCTGGAGACATGTGGACCTGATGTCCTCCCTCTCTGCAGGTGACTCTGAAAGGTGAGAACACGTCTCAGGTGGTTCAAGACGACCAGGTCAAAGGGCCCCTCAGGGTAAGATGGATTTATCCTTGGTACTGTTTGTTTGAGTTCTCAATTACATTTAAGGTTTTGTTTACCTTGTTGGACGGGTTCCGCTGATGTAAATGTTTTGGTGTGGTTCTTCAGGTGGGTTCCTCTGTGGAGGTGAAGACCAACGAGGGCGTGTGCAGCGAGGCTGTCATCAGTAAGCTGACAGATGCCAGTCTCTACACTGTGGGTAAGGTCCATTACTTCACCTTTTGATTCTGAGCTCGCATGAGGACCACAACAGGTTTATTTTACACACAAAGATCCAGAGTTTCACAGAACAGAACTTTGTAGTTCAGCTCCTGTTTAAAAAACCATGTGGTTCCTCTCAACCTGCTGTGAAGATCTACGGAAGTTAACCTGATTTATTCTAAACATTCTGAGTGAAACAGGAAGTGATGTACGTCTGCAACCATAATGGAGGCTCCGATGTGTTGTCTTTCATCACATTAAACTGGCTGAGGGGGAGTGATGAAGCAGAGAAAAGGTTTCGCTTAGTTACCTGATGACATCAGATGATGTCACATCTTCTCTTGGCTGTCTGACCAATCCACTGCCAGCTTCAGTAATGAGCCCCAAAGTTCTACAGATCTTTAGAGTGTAACAATTAATCTACTTTGTTTTTTTTGTTCATTGACATCACAGACACTACCACCAGGTGGCAGAAAAACTCCCAACGATGAGTGAGACAACACACAGCTACTGCTGCAAAAGCCCCTCCCCTTTTTGGGGATTAATGTAATGCTCCGCCCCTTTTGGGGTAAAAACTCAGTTTTGACTGACTGTAAATGCAGCTTTCAACTATCTAAAGATAATTATTTAATCTAATGTCTGATCAATGATTCCCAGGGCAATCTAGGATTAAAGTTTGTAATTTATGATGTTAACCTAACGTCCCTAATCCTGCTCCTGGTTGAAGGTCTTCCTCTTCCTCTTGTGGAAGCTAGACGGTACCGGTCTTTACTTTGTCACCTGGTCTGTGTGTGTTCCAGTTTTTGATGATGGAGATGAGAAGACTCTCCGTCGAACATCTCTGTGCCTCAAGGGGGGCAGGCATTTTGCAGTGGGTGAGGTGAGTCGTCTGCTCTGAATAAGAGTTCAGTCTGGATGTTCTAAAACCTAAAAAAAAAATCTTCTTTCCTGCAGACGTTGGACCAGCTGCCACTGACCAACCCGGAGCATTTCGGTACCCCAGTGATCGGTAAAAAGTCCAACCGAGGCGGGCGGCGCTCCTCTCAGGCTGTGTAAGTTTTTATTTTATTTTTTAATCTGTCTAACTTTGTGAACAAAGATGGAGGTGTTTTTGGTTGTAGCTGCATCGGCACCTTTCAGAACCTCCAGAATTTTTTTCTGATCCAACACAAGAAACTGGTTGAGGAGGAGTGATGAAGCAGAGAAAAGGTTTCGCTCAATTATCTGATGACATCAGATGATGTCACGCTTTCTCTTGGCTGTCTGACCAATCCGCTGCCAGCTTCAGTGATGAGCCAAAACATTACGACTGTGTCAGCGTTTTAAGAAGTCAGACGGTTTATCTACAGAACTCCTGACTTTGTGTTTGGATCTCAGAGCCGATGAGGAGAACATCACTTCATCCAGCGAGGATGAGGAGGAAGAGAGGAAGAGGCAGAGCGATGAGCTGCTGGGACAAATCTGCAGCATAGAGAATGTGGAGGAGTCCATCAATTGGTTCATAGCTCTGGTAAGCACAATTTAAATTGAGCTTATCAGGTTCTGTTCCAGTTCTTCAGGATGATCCGTATCTCCACAGTCCTGGTTCAGCGCTCTGAGAGGAACTCATAACTAATGTTCTTCCTTTCTGAGTTGAATCAAAGTTCTCATCATTCCAGTTTGGATGTTCTGATGGTGTTTGTTGGTTCTGCAGGTGGTGTTGCCCAGCTGCAGCGACGAGCTGGTGGTGAAGAAGGACCAGTATCTGGTCAGGTCTTTCCACGACGGGAAGTTGTGAGTTCAACTTTAGTTTTTCGTGTTTCTGACATCAGGTCGGATCAGAACCATCGGCTGGTTTGGTTCTAACTGGTTCTCCTGTTTTCATCCTGCAGCTACACTGTGGCAAAAAGACACGTCCACCTCATCACCTCCGTCAGCATCGCCAAGTCTCACTTTGTCAGCAGGAGAGGTGAAGCCTCCTCCTCTCCTCTCCCTGCTCCGTGCTTCCTCCACTTCCTTATCCTCCTCGTCCGTTATCTTTTGCAGGTTTCGAAGCAGCGCAGGTGTTCCTGAGGAGCAGGGAGGTTCCAGATGCGTGGAAGATGGACATGAGTCAGATCCTTGACTCGTCCTCCAGCGAAGACGACAAAGACGAAAAGGAAAGTGAGGAAGAGGAGGAGGAGGATGTTGACGAGGATGAAGGAAAGAAGCACATGAAGGAGGAGGTGAAGTTTTACACGTCTCACTTAAATGTGTTGACATATGGCACCACGCAGTCAGCTGACCTTGGCGAACACAAACACGGTGATAACTGGTGTGATAGTAGCTGAGAGTCATCCCAACACATAAATATGACTCTTAATTTAAAATTGTGGCATGAAAGGCGGCAGGCGATATGACTTTTTTTGTTGTTGTATTTTTATGAACTTTCTTTCTGTGTGTCAGCCTGAGGAAGAGCAGGACCCTGAGGAGAGAGACAACTTCCTCCAGCAGCTCTATAAGTTTATGGAGGACAGAGGTGAGCGCACTCAGAACGTCACCCTGAGAACAAACAAAACCTAAGATTCAGATTACACACAGAACAGCTAAAATAATTCAGCCATAAAAATACTAAAATACACAGACTTGTATCCTGAGCAGAACGGTTATCTTCCTGTCATCACACTCCATGTGCACGTTAAGGTTAGATATTAGTGAGTCTGTTAAATCATCATGAATTAAATTGTTTTTTTGTTCTTGTTGGAAGTGGAAAGTCATGATGTGAATCGGTTTGTTAGAGGTAGAGTCCGGTTTACGGGAGCTGCCATGTTGTATTTTTAAAACGAGGCTTTAGGGATGTTGAACTGTAAGCTCCGCCTACTTCCCCCTACACAATCATGCTGTTTGAAAGCAGCATAACCAATTACGCTGGTGTAGCTTCTCAGTCATCCAGGACACGATGAATCCAAAAAAGGTTAAAAACAAAAACAACTGGACACTCAGCAGCTGAAGACATTGTGCTTCTCATCTGAGGAGCTTTCTCAATTCAAAGAATGGAGATTGTGGAGTTTTGAGTTGAGGTGTTCTGTGCGCTGGATTCACAGGCAGATTGCCCTCACACTCCTGACGCTAGAGGATCGTTAGGGTCTTTGATAACCTGACTCACTCTGGAAGTGATGTACGTCTGCAACCATAATGGGAGGTTCAAACCTGTTGACTTTCATCACATCAAACTGGCTGAGGAGGAGTGATGAAGCAGAGAAAAGGTTTCGCTCAGTTACCTGATGACATCAGATGATGTCACATCTTCTCTTGGCTGTCTGACCAATCCACTGCCAGCTTCATTCATTGAGCATGCATCCAGGATAAATTGTCTGCGGGGTATTTTTTTAATTTTCTAGTCTGTAAAATGTCATTTGTTTACAAGAACCTAAAATGTATACAGCTACCAGCCTACAAGGGTTGCTTCAGCTTCAATTTCTGGGTTCCTGTGTCCAGTTTTTATGTTTACGTTTCAGAAGCAAAAACCTTTGACCCCATCTGTCTTTAGATCAAATATAGCATTGCTGATTCTACCCCACGCACGATGTTTGGAACTTTAAGGTCCAATCATCATCGTCACGTATTTTATTATAAAACCAGGAAACAGATTTGCTTCAGCACCTGTTTTGTTCAGAGATGAACGTTCAGCCTGAATTCAGAGACGAAAGCGTTTTTCTGTTTTCAGACTTTACTGATTGTTGGTCTCTCTGTTTCTCAGGGACTCCCATCAACAAGCCCCCTGTATTGGGCTACAAAAACCTGAACCTCTTCAAACTTTTCAGGCTGGTTTATCATCTGGGAGGCTGCCACAAGGTGAGGAGGAGGGGGTGGAGCTAATATCTGGAAGGGGATGGGGCTATATGACATATTTACTTCCTGGGAGGAGTGGGTGGAGCTAATGAAGTGTCATCGAATGTGAGTGATGATGCTAAGGAAGGTTTCGCAGGCTGGACTGAGCACCTGATGATCTTCTTGGCTGTCTGACACAACCCGATGGGTTTTCCTGTCCTGTCAGCTGATAACGTAGGTGACTGAACTCTGTGGTTCTGTTTCAGATCGAGTCTGGCACGGTGTGGAAACAGGTCTACATGGACCTGGGGATCCCCATTCTGAACTCTGCTGCGTCCTACAATGTTAAAACGGCCTACAAGAAGTAAGAAGAGCAGATTCCGAAGACACTATTGAAGGATGATCGGTTTGTTTTGACCGCTGTGTTGGTCTGACCTTTGTTCTGTCCAGGTATCTGTATGGGTTTGAGGAGTACTGCCGCACCGCCTCAATCACCTTCAGAACCATCCACCACAACAACCCCCCACCCAACATGGTTCTGAGTAACCACAAGAAGGCCCAGGCCGAGTTACAAGAGTCCACCAGCCCACAGCCGAAGATGGAGCCCGTCGAAGATAAGGAGGAGGAGGAAGAGGAGGAGGAGGAGGAAGAGGAGGAGGAGGAAGAAGAAGAAGAAGAGGAGGAGGAGGAGGAGGCCGACTCTGAGAGTGACAAGGAGATAAAGGAGAGAAAATCTTCTCTTCGGGTGAGACGTGTCTCCTTTTGTTTCAGAAACCAGGATGTAGTCTGGTCTCCATGTGTTGGGTGTGAAGTTCTGCTGAACCTGAACCCAGCGGGTCTTTGGTCTGGTTTTAGGGGAGGAGAAGGTGCGTGGGGAGTCGGATGAAGTTGTCCTCTCGACTGAATCTTCCTGGACGAGGTGAAGTGGAGAACAGTGAGGAGGAGCAACGGGAGGTGAGAACGCGCAGCAATAGAAGGATGGATGATTCCGAAAAAGGCTCAGAGGAGGAGGAAGAGGAGGATGAAGAAGAAGAGGGGGACGAGGAGACCCGCAGGAACAGGTAAGACTAAAGACATTTTCATTTCTCTGTGATGTTTAACAGTATTTAACGTCTGATCTTAAACTGCTTGTTTTAGGAGTGAGGACGGGGAGGACGAAGACTCTGTGACGGGGACGAAGGTCAGGGTGAAGTACGGCCGAGGGAAGACCCAGAAGATCTACGAAGCCCACATTAAGAAGACTGATGTGGACAACGGAGAGCAGTTCTACCTGGTCCATTACTACGGCTGGAACGTCAGGTTGGTGAAGCTCTCAGAGCTGGATTCAGAGTTCATCTGTTTTCCTGACAGACTGAGTTCTGGTACCATGGACTCAGGTGTTCTTATCTGCCTGGCTCTCTCTGATCCTCAGGTATGACGAGTGGGTGAAAGCCGATCGAATCATTTGGCCCTCAGAGAAAGGGACCAAGAAGAGGCAGAGGAGGAAGATGAAGGTGATAATTGACACGTTAGTTTCTGACAACAACCAGCCTTCAGGAAACGTTTACATTTTAGTAAATTATAGCACCAAGTAAATCCACTAAAATGTCTTAGAACAGTCTTTTACATTAAGTCTGTTGGATTTGATGTCTTCGATCATCAGAACTTACAGAAGAGTCCAGTGTGTGCTACACTTTAACCAACAGGTCTGCTTGGTTCTGGTACTGATCCAGGCACCAGAAGTGATGTCATAGTTATTCACATATCCTTTAGAATATGTTTAGTTAATAGGAAGTGATGTCATTTCTATTATTGGCATTTAAATAGAAATAGGCTGGCGCCACAGCCCACTTTATTCGAAAGAGGCTGCCATCTTTGTAAGTGCTACAGGAGCATCTTTAGTTACTGTCAGATTACATGGCAGAAAATCGTAGGTTTGAGGGGAAAACAGCTCGTCTAATGCACCGTATTAAACCAGGGTTTGTTGCTTTCTAAAGGCAGATTATGGATAATGCATTATTATTAGTAATATATTTTCCTAACTACCGTAATTACCATTAGTCCACCTATTTTATGGGTGAAATACTTTAAAAAGTAACTTGGTATATAAACTGCAAAAACTTCTACATTTTAAAGCTCATTTTATTAAAAGTCTAATCTTTTTAGAGATTTATGTAGAAAATATTGTCTTATTTTTAGAAAAAATTATGAAATCCATTCCTGTAAACTATTTAATCACTTAAAGTACAGTTCTGTTAGGATGATTGCAGCCCTCAGTCGTTTTTTTCACCGAGCAGAGAGCCCAGTTGACAGGAGGCTTATTTTAAATACTTTTGTTTTCTGTTTTCACTTTATGTACAATAAATGATTATTTAGATAAAAAGTAAAGCTTTTTTCTTTGTTCGTAGACTGATGTCACAGCATGACGTGTAGCACCTAGCAAAATGACTGCCATGACTTCTAGTGCTGTTCCATGACTTTTTAAAATTCATCAGGATACGGTGTCAAAGTATCACCATCCAACCTTACTTCCTGTTGACTGAGCCCGATTGTCTTCACGTCCCTTCAGATCAGAGACAGGGACGACCTGGACAAGGACGAAGAAAAGCAGATTCCAGTGGGGACGGTTAAACCGCCAGGGCCCAAGCGTGGTCGTCCTCAGATCAGAAACATGCACACTGGGCCCGCAGGACGCAGCGTCCTCAGAACCACCAGCAGTGAAAGACAGTCCAATGGCAAGAACGAGACAGATCCAATGGCCAACATGGCTAACGGAGACGGTAAGAGAGAGAGCTATCCATTGCAGCAGGGTTATGATGTCAGAACTGTTTATTTTATAGCTCCTCCTCATCTCTACAGATACGCCTCGCAGGAGAACCAGGAGGACCTCTGGAATGTACGAATCGGACCGGGTGTCTAATGGTGAGAACACGTCCACTTCCTGTTTCCTGCTAAACAACCGTACCTCTATATCTAACCTCTCCTCCCCTGCAGAGGATTCTGGGAACTCCTCAGACAACAGCGAATCCGATGATGAACCAGAGAAGATGGACAGGTTGTCGCCATGGCAGGAGACTGCTGAAGCTCCGCCCAGTCAGCCAGAGGAGGAGCCAGAGGGGGAGAAAAAGACAATTGAAGAGTCTGATGTTATTGTTAGCATAGCAACGTCGTCTCTGCTGCCAGCTGCTGCGGACTGTCCCAGCATGCTTCAGGAGAATGCTGAGGAAGTGCTGAGCCAATCAGAAAAGCAGCAGGGGGAGGAGCCTGGAGTGATGTCGTCACACCTGGACAGAGTAAGCCCAATGTCCAGCCCAGACAGGACCAAGATGTCACCTGGACAGGAAGTCCTCCCCCAGACATCCCCCAGCAGGATGCTCCCCCAGCAGCTGGTGTCCTTGTCCCCCCGCATCACGGAAGACCACGCGCACTCATCTGTCCTGTCCTCCCCCAAGGTCAAAGGACGCAGGACTATCCTCAAGGAGGCAAGCTCAGAGGCTCCGCCCACTATCCCTCTTTGTAGTACCAGCCCCACCCACAACTCTCCCCCCAGCCCTCCTCGGGCTGTTGTGCTGTCTTCTCGCAGCATCCTCAAGAGACAGGAGGAGCCCATGGTGGTCCTCCATTGCCTCCCCACTCAGCACCTCCCACCCAAGTCTCCCTCTGCCAACTCTGACACAGACTCTGCCACTGAGGAGGAGGAGCTGCTCCTCCAGGAGAGGAGCACCACCACCCAGGAACAGGAGGAGGAGAAGCTGACCCCCCAGGAGAGGAGCAACTCTGTCATGAAAAGAAAGGCAGCAGAGGAGGAGCTGCTCCCCCAGGAGAGGAGCAGCTCCTCCCCAAGGAAGAAAGGGACGGAGAAGAAACTTTGTCCTGAAAAAAGGCAGGAAGAGGCTCCCTCCCCCTCCAAACCTCCTCGTTCCCCGCTGCGCCCCAACAAGAGGAGCGACGAAGGTCTGAATGCCGAGGAGGGGGCCCTCTCTCTTGAAAAGGAGGTGCAAACTAAGTTTGCAGAGGAGCTTCTGGTGGATGGCACTATTAAGGAAGCAGAGGTGCATGCTGGGAATCCTCTCCCTGCAGCAGAAGACCCTACCTCCCCTGTTGAGGAGGTGGAGCCTCAGATGGGCCCAGACTCCCTGGTTTGTCATGAGGTGGACCTGGACGATCCGGATGAGAAGGAGAAGCCCACCTCCTCAGCAGAACATCTCCTCCTGATGGTGAGAGAGGAGCAGCAGATTCTGCCCGCCCTGCCCCTGGTGGTCCACTCCTCCCTCCCGCCCCACCTCCCCAAGGCTCAGGTCAGGCCCTTCCTAATAGCTGCCAACCCTGCCCCCTGCTCTGAGGATCTGCCTCTGGTCACTGGTGGGGGGCAGGAGGGAGACTCCAGTCCTGGGTTTGAGGGCAGCACCTCCTCGTCCTCCACCTGCCTGCTGTCTCTGCAGGACAACAAGGACCGAGGTAGGGACGGGAGACAGCACACCACTCTGATCCAATCCTGGGTTTGTCGTCTAACGCATGTGACCTTTGACCCCTTAGGTCAGAAGAGGGTGAACGACTGCGACTCCAGCCCGTCCGCCAAGAAACACAAACGGAACCAAAAACGGACCCACACGCCCGCCAAGGTGGACAAGAATGGAGCAGGTGAGAGCATGTCCTCTGTCAGGAACCTGTTTCAAGGGTCAGAACACGAGAACGACCCCTGACCCCCCTCATCTGTCTCCACAGGACACAGCAGCGACAGCGAGGACCAGTCTCGTCTCTCCTCAGTATCCAAGTCTCAGAAGTCCCGATGTCCGAGTTTCTTGTCTCCATCTGCTCACTGTAAAGACAAACGGAACTCCCCGTCCCCTCAGCGCTCCTACAAGTGGACCCTACAGCTCGGTACACACACACACACACAGTCTGAGTCTAATACTACAAGATCCAAACGTTTCAAACACAAGCAGATCTTTCTGTCTGAAGAATGATGTCCAGCTGTTAGTTCTGGGTCTGGTTGATTCTCAGACCCATACTTGCAAACTTGTCGCTTTTCGGCAAAATTCACAGATTTCAATTAAAAAAAATCTTATTTACGTGAATCATCGATCCGAAAGTTCAAGCACAGCCCCTCTGTAATCCTAGATGGATTTCAGAACCGAGCTGATGGTGTTTTTACAGAAATGTTTAATCAGAACCGGGCTCTTGGTGATTCACGTCCTAAAACTGCATCCAAACTAATAGTTCTGGCAGAGCTCCGAACCGGTCTGGTTTTAAAGACCTAGAAGACCCTTATTGACATTTGACCCTCCTCTTTTCTCAGACGAGTTGGACAATATGTCCAGCACAGACAGGATCTCCTTCCTGCAGGAGAAGCTGCAGGAGATCAGGAAGTACTACCTGAGCCTGAAGTCCGAGGTGGCCTCCATCGACAGGCGAAGGAAGAGACTAAAGAAGAAGGAGAGGGAAGGTGGGAGCACCAGGGCATGCTGGGAAATATGAGTTCATAACATCAACCTGAACACCAGGAAGTTAAAAACTGGCATTAATTACATTTGATAGTTTTAATGCAGAATAAAGTGAATGGTGAACCATGCATGCAAACAGGAAGTCCTTTCTGGGTTCTTATTGGTTCTGTTTGTCCTCCTCAGTGTCCAACACAACGGTGTCCACCTCATCGGGTTCCTCTGACACGGGCATGAGTCCAACCTCAGCCTCGCCCACTCAGAACACCTTGGCTGTGGAGTGCAGGTGATGATACGCCCACAGAGCTCCGCCCCATCCCCACAAAGACTCCGCCCACTACGTAGGCCCCGAGCTAAAGAAGGAGACACAGACTCCCAGTTGAGACTGACGCAGTGGCTGACGGGAACCCGCCACTTTTCGTGTGGCAGCACAGAGGCTCCGCCCCCTCACTTCCTGTTCGAGGAGGCAGATGGCAGCACGCCATTTGAGTGGATACAGAACGCCGCCTTTGTTTCCTCATTTCACAATAATTCGCCGCTTGTCGAAGGCGGAGTCAGAGGGGGGTCAGAGGTCAGCGAATCCTGAGCCTTCCCTCCACCTTTAATTTATTCACGTCAATATAAACAAACCAACGTTCGGCTTCTTTTTGTTTTGGTCTTTCAATAGAATTAAAGCTTTTATTTTGAAAATGGAAAAGTGAAGGAGGCTGAAAATTAAAACATTAATTAAATTCTTTTTTCACCAGCAACTTTCAAACTTTATTTTTTAAAATCTGAAATTTTGCTAAGACGAAAACAAAAGTTGTTGATTTTTCTGGAATGGACTAAAAATCTGATCTACTTAATTTTCAGATGTTTGACCAGTCAAATCAAACGGATTCATTTTAAAAGTGAATCTGGAGTTATTTTGACCTTCATCAGTTAAACCAGAATCTGGATTTAAAGCCCCTCAGAGGACTGAATGTGACTTTCTGTCAACGATGCACTTCTGACCCGTTTTCAGGGACGGTTGCTCTGGAGGACCTCTTTCTCATTTTCTGCGTCGGGTTCAGGCAGACGGCTCCTCTACACGTTTGTTTTGTACAGAAAATAAAAATCCACACCTGTATTTGAATTTTACACGCCTGCTACAAAGGATTTCTAATATTTTCTAAGAGAAGACCGTTTGTATTGTAGTATTACAAACTCTGTGTATTTTTTGTTTGTTTTGCTGGCGGTGCTTCGGAGCGACGATGTAAATACAGAAACGGTGTGAGAGCACAATGAGCAGCGTCTGTTTCTAATAAAGTTTTTAACAGTTTATTGTTAAGCGGTGTCATTTAACGCACGGTAAACCTGATGGTGCAGATTTCAGAATTATAAGACATCGACCAGTGACCCGGAAACGTTTTATTTTCCAAAACAAAGACATGAAAGTTCACAATATATATAAAAAAAAAAGTTGTGTTTACATGTTATCTTCATCAGAGTCATCCTCTTCCTCCAGAGAATCCTGAAACAGAAAACAGAGCTTTTATGAACTATAGGAACCTTTACCATCGCCTGCAGTGTCATAAATGAACTACAGGAACTGCTCTAAATTAATTCAGGTTCTCTGGATGGATTCTTTTTGGTTGAAACGTTTAGTCTTTTATCCAAAAGACCGTCAGTCTGAGGAGCTGCAACAAACTCAGTCTTGTGTGTGCTGATATCTAACTCCTCCCTCACCATGGCAACAGTTTCCACCTGCCTGAAGACCGCCACAATCATCCCAGTTCCCAAGAGCTCTGCAGTGACTGGTCTGAATGACTACTGGCCAGTAACCCTCACCCCAATAATCACTAAATGCTTTGAAACTGGTCATGATCCACATAAAAGCTACCATCAACGAGGACCCTCACCCGTACGCATAACGCAAAAATCGATCAACAGAAGACACCATCTCCTCTGTGGTCCACACTGCTCTCGCCCACCTGGAGCAGAAAGACTTGTGTCCGTATGCTCTTTGTGGACTTCACGTCTGTCTTCAACACCACGGTCCCCCAGACCCTGATGGACAAACTATTCACACTAAGACTAAGCCCCTCCATTTGCAACTGAGTCCTAGACTTCTTAACAGACTGCAGTCAGTGAGGATCCACAACTTCTCCATAGTTCTCAGCACTAGCTTCCCTCAGGGATGTGTGCTGAGCCCCCTCCTGTTCACTCTGCTCACGTATGATTGTGCAGCTACCCATCCAGTCTGTCACATTGTAAAGTTTGCAGATGATAAGGTGGTGGGATGCATCACAAACAACGATGAGTCCAGCTACAGGCAGGAGGTGGAACACCTGGAGCGCCGGTACAGGAAGAACAACCTTCGCATCAATGTGAAGAAGACGAAGGAGATGGTCGTGGACTTCAGAAGGAAAAAACACAGCTACCCACTCACCAGAATATAGGAGGATCTGTGGTGGAAGTGGTCTCCAGCTACAAGTACTTGGGTGTAAACCTGAATGGCAACCTCAGCTGGAGCAACAACACACCAGCCTGATCAAGAAAGCTCATCAGAGACTACTTCCTCAGACGGCAGAGACGAGCTGGTCTGGGAAGCTCAGTCCTCACCTCCTTCTACAGGTGTGCAGTGGCTGCACAGCTGCAGAAAAAAAAGATTTGCAGAGAGTGGTGAAGGCTGCACAGAAGTCTGTTGGAGTTGGTCTCCCCACCATCACAGACGTCTACACCTCCAGATGCAGGAAGAGGGCCACCTGCATCATGAAGGACCCCACTCACCCAGCACACACACTTTTTGCCCCGCTCCCCTCAGGAAGGAGGTTGCAGAACCCAAGTATAGAACCACTAGACTGAGGAACAGCTTCTACCCTGAAGCTGTTAGCCTCATGAATCTCTAACCAGAATAATCACTGAAAAGAAAAATCACTGTAATGTTGGAAGTTTAATCTTGCTGGAGGCCCGGTCTGGTCGACTCTGACTCATAACCTGGTTCAGAACAGATCATACTGTCAACTGCTCACAATGAATGATCCCTGGTTCACCACCAGATAGGGAGTCACTTTCGTTTGCTTGCTTCCAACGCTTAGATAGATTTGCACATCACCACATTATCCACCAACAGGAACAAATAAGACCAATGAGGTCACACATAGTCACTCCATTGATACACTCTGATAGGCTGTGCCTGCCCCGGATGTGAAGGTGGAGCCAAGGGCCAACATAAGCTATGTTCTGTTTAGAGCTGTCATTTCTAACCCGGAGCCCGGCCCCACCTGACCCAGATTTGGACCGGGCCAGGCCATAAAAATGTGCTTAATGTGTGGGCCGGGTCGGTGTCGGGCTTTTTATAGCAGGGACGAGCGTGGCCGACGATCCACTATATGCAAACATGGCTTGCCATACTACACCTGCTGCATGCATGCAGCCATTTGACCGCGCGCTGACCGGCTGGTTGAAAGAGGTAAAAAGTTTTGTTAGGTTTCAGATGGACTACTGCCAGCGATCCATCATCCCAAATGGACGTTCATTCAGCCGCTGCATTCAGCGGACGCGCGCGGCTGACGACTCAAACAGGTGAGATCACAAAATATCTGACATGTCAGAGCAGGGTCCAATGCAGGCAAAAGCAGGGGAAGCATTTAATGCGCTTTGATAGCTCCTCAGCTCCAATCTTCTGCCCCCTCAGCCGCACATTAATAATAGTTGGTGATCAAAGCTTAATTAAAAATGTCGGGGGGGTGTTGGGTTGGACCTGTAATTACTGTTAAATCGTCGAATCGGGTAGGGTTCGGAGATGATGGCTGCGGGCCGGGATGGTTTGGATTATTTGAACCCGAGTGCAACTCTAGTTCTGTTGCACGAGGCCTCCGCTTCCGTTTCCTGGTTAAGACGGGTCGGACGGACGCCTTAGCGCTGAGCTGGTAACTTTTCCTGCCTTATAAACATTAAATGGTAAATAGAATTTACTTCTCTTGATTTTAGTGAGTTCGTGTGAGTTTCCTCTCCACCTGGGAACAAAAGAACCGGAAGGGTGCCGTGGTCGGACGGCTGACAGTAATGCTACTTTAATTGGTGCTGCTGATTATCCATGCTGCTGATCTCATGCTGCTGTATTCATTCATACCTATATGCTCACCAGACTCATGCTCGGGCTGCTGTTACACCGTGTTGTTTTGCATTGTTAGTGTTTAGCGTATATCTTAGATCTTTTAGCGTAACGTCTGATGTTTGTTTTAACGTATACCTTGGTGTACGTCTTGCTCAGAGACACCACGACATGTGCGAATGGCTTGGGATCGAACCTGGGACTTTCGGCCCAAAGTCAGCTGCCCTGCCTCTACTACATATCGGCCCCCATAGGAACTGTTATGTTCTTTACAAGATTATAAATGAACTATAGGAACCTTTATTGAACCCTGCAGGACTACGCTTGAACTATAGGACTCTTTACTGCCCCCTTCAGGATCATAACTGAACAATAGGAACCTTTATTGAACCCTGCAGGACTACGCTTGAACTATAGGACTCTTTACTGCCCTCTGCAGGACCACACCCGAACTATAGGAACCTTTACTGCACCCAGTAAACTCAGGTGTGTGTAGCTCACCTTTGCATATTTCTCTGCTTCCTCTCTGACGTCTTTGGGAACAAACTCGTGTCGTCCGTTTGTGACTGAAGAAAACAGGAGAAGAAGAAGAGTGTTACCATGAGAACAGCAGTCTGGATCCAGTCTGATCTCTGACTGGATCTTACCTTCTCCAACCCAGCTGAGTTCCAGTTCAAACGCTTTGTCCTTCACCTCGTCGTGAACGATGTAGATTCTGAAAAACAGAATTTAAACTTTGTCACTTTTAATGCTTTTCATAAAATCGTTAAATCTATTTTGACAATTCTTCATATTTCAAATGAATCATCATTTAAGGAAAGAAAATAAAATGAACGTTGAGGTTTGAACTCACATTTTAGCGACTTCTTTAACGAGTTCTCTGCACGTCATGTCTTTCATCTGAGAAACAGAAACATTGGCACATTTTTACACTTCATTACTGATCAGAGGGTTCTGCTCTGGTGGTTTTGATGATCCGGTCTCACCTGCAGTTTTTCAATCTCGGTCTTTGCAGCCTGTTTTGCTTTTCCGATTGCGCAGCCCCAGTAACCCTGAACACAAATGGGACATTAGCAGAGATTACAGCAGAAAAGAATCTTGTGACTTAAGTATTTTCTACACCAGGACCCAAACACGACACATTACAGTATACCGAGTACATGACCGCAGTAAACATACAGTGTTTGTGATACTGATTTGGTACCATTCGATTTGGATTTGGTCTTTTAGTACCAAAAGACTTCTTCACACTGAAAATAATAAAAAATAAAAGACAAAATGTTTCCACAAAGAAGAATCTATCCAGAGGACCTGACTCAACCGTGATAGAGTTATCTACCTGGATTACTGAGCTGCATCAGGACAATTTACTCTGTACATGACCTTAGTAAAAGTACACAGTACTTTGTATATACAAACGTCCTGGGGAGGTCTGTGAGTGGTGCGGGAAGAGGGGGTGGGGTGATGACGTATCAGTTAAGTGTCTCCCCCGGCTGCAGTGAAGTGAGTTTAACACATAGACATTTAATAATTTATTACATGTCATCACCTTGGTTTGGGTAGCGGGGGGGTGTCCTTGGAAAATAGTCCAGGAAACCCTGATTGGTGCTCTCACCTGCAGTCTGTCTGAGTCAGGAACACTGCTAACTGTGAACCAGACAGCACGACCCGTCCTGCTCTGACTGGGTCAAACTGTGGCTCTGGTTCAGTTTATTTGTTGAAAGCAGCATCAGCTTAATCCCTGTATCATCATTAGATTGGATGGATTTAAAAATACCAAAACAAAACTACAAAAAAACTTGTTCCCCTTTCATTTTCATTTATCAGGCTCCTCTCTTGTGGAATCAACTTCCAGTTTCTGTCCATAAGGTTGACACAATGTTCAGTTTTAAGACTGGGTTTAAGACTCTCCTTTTTGATAAACACTATAGTTGGGATTGGCTTGGGTTTCCTGAGCTATCCCTTAGTTATAGGTTTAAGACTGCTGGAGGACAAATTGACCACATTTTCTCTCTCTGCTGCTTCTTTACTTGCTCTACCTGTTTGTATTTGTAATTATTTCTATCTTAACGTGTTTCTTTAATCTTTCCTCCAACAGAAAGTTCATCTGGACCCATCATTCTGTGTCTGTTTGTTTCTACTTCCTGTCCTCTCAAACCTCAGCCAGTAGATGGCCGCTTGTCCTGAGCCTGGTTCTACTGGTGGTTTCTCCCCGTTAAAGAGAGTTTTTCCTTTCCACCGTCTCCTTTGTGCTTGCTCAGGATGGGAGACTGTGACAAAGTGAATGTTCAACACAATCTGCTGCTTCCTTAGATAGAGAACTTTTACTAATTGGCTTTTATAAAGTATGTGAATGTTTCTGTTCAGTGCCCTGAGACAACTTCTGTTGTGACTTGGCGCTAAATAAATAAATTGAATTTAAATAATTTTTTACAGATGATGGAAATCTGTCACAGCAACAGAGAACTTTAATCCCTGTCAATGTCAATTTTATTTATATGGCACATTTATAAACAAAGTTGACCAAAGTGCTTCACAAACAGGAAATCAGCAATAAAATAAACGAAAGTGTTAGTGAATCAAAATGAGTGAGACAGTTTGATTCAGACTGATCAGTTAGGAAATCCGTGTTAGTGACGACAGAGAACAAACGGTCCTTTTCTTTTATTTCAGCTCTTTATAACGATGATATTAAAATATTATTTATGAACTTCAAGTGGAAAAACATAAACAATGTAGTGTAAAGTAAAATGACCCACGTGTGAGATCCCGGACGGGTCCACCATGTAGAGCTGAGGCCCGTCGTCTTTGTCGTACGAGCCCAGGATGAAACTGAGTCCAACAGAACCACAGAACTTGTATTAGAAAGAACTCACCTTAAAACCAATTAATTTTACAATTTATAAGATTAAAAACAGATTAAAGTTCTGTTGGGACTGAGACCGACCTGCAGCCGAAAGGTCTGACGGCGCTGTACAGTGTGTAGGCATGGACGTACATCGCCACCCTGTCCGACAGGTGCTGTAGGACATACAGAGACAGACATGAGGATAGACAAGAGGACCATACAAGAGACAGACAAGAGGACCAGACAAAAGACAGACATGAGGACAGACAGAAACTGACACGAAGACACACACAGACGTGGACAAACATGAGGACAAACAGAGAAAGAAACAAGACATGAGGACATACACAGGGCCCGACATGAAGACAAACAGAAAAAAACGAGGACACACACACAGAGACAGACATGAGGACAAACAAGAGACGGACATGAGGACAAACAAAGAACAACATGAGGACAAACAGAAACTGACAAAGGCAGACACATATGTGGACAAACACAGAGCCAGACATGAGGACAGAGACAGACAGAAATAGACATGAGGACAGACAACAGATAGACATGACGACAGACAGAAACTGACACGAAGACAGACACAGAGACAGACATTAGGGCGCACACAGAGACATAGGAGCGTTACCTTCAGAGGAATGTCGTGTCCATAGTTTGACCTGAAGTTGGACGCTTCTTCTCGAGCGACTTCAGCCAGAGAGCGAGCGTCGGCTAACAGACCAGCTACTGCCTGCAGGGAGGGACAGGACGGAGGGACACTGACCAGTCTGAGTCATACTGTCTCATACATACTGATTCAGAACAGTTAGTTTTGTGGTTGAGCCAGTGATGTCACGTTGTTTATATCACTACAAACATACAAAAGGACGTGTTGCCGCAGTGATGAGCTTGTCATGCATCTCATCTAAAATAAATCACATCAAAGGACAGAGTTTCTGTTAATCTAATGTCCTGTGTGTGTGCATGTGTGTTACCATGCCAACATGTCTGTCAATATTGAAGATGCGTTTATTGGAGCCATCCTCATATAGTTTGGACAGGACGAGCTTCTCCACCCCAAACACAATCCCGTCCTTACAACGGATCCCGATGGCTGTGCTGCACACACACATACACAATTAGGTCTCACTTCCAGACACAGTGTGTGTGTGTTTCACAGCTCAGGTAAAGGAAGAACAAACTGACCTGCTGTTCTCCACAGCCTTCATTGCGTACTCCACCTGGAACACCCGCCCATCAGGAGAGAAGGTGGAGGCCGACAGGTCATACTGCAGAACAACACACAGCGTTAACATCATAAAATTAATCTGTGTAAATGATAAAAAGCAGGTGCATTCTTTAATAGCTTTTGGCTCAGTCCACATTATCTGTAAAAAATAAAAAAAATAAAAATAATATTCTTGTTCTTCATTTTTTTTTTTCATTCAACCTTTTTTTATACAGGTTAGTGTCACTGAGCCTCGAGGACTCGGTTACAAGAGACCTGTTTAAAGAGATGTTAAGAGAAGCATTTATTCACACGGTTTAAGTTCAACTTAAAGAAAAAAATCAGTTGCATCTGTACAGAATTTCTTTTTTACTAATTATGTTTTCTCCACGTGTAAACCAACTTTAAATATAATTTAGAATAACATAGCACAGCCGCTCTATAAACTCGGGAATTTAAAGTAAAGTTTTCTGGCAGTAATGTTATTTTTGTTTGCTTACTTCAATCCCGAATGAACATAACTAGTTTATTTAAGAGAAAAACGTATTAAAATCTGCTGTTTACGTTGCATTTATGAGCTAAAAATCACACAAACTTAAAAAAATCCTATTTAAGAACAGAGTCTGGCAGGCACCGGAGCTAACCGTTAGCAGCTAACTGGTAGCAACATGTTAACAGAAAAATTGAAGTTTATTTAAACTCAATTTTGTACCAAAAGTGTAATGAAAACTTTGATTTTTTTTGTTTGTATAAACAGTAGGTACATTTAATTAAATGGAAACATAAAACAGTTACACTTTCACTTTAGCTTCAGCTAACAGGCCGGTCTGTGACTCAGCAAGCTAACATGTTGCTGTAAGAGAAATTTCTGTTAAATAAAATGTTTTGTTTTTTTTTCAGTTAGAAACGGACTAAACACGAACAGAACTCTCAAACTAGAGCTAATATAAAGTCTATAAGCGTCTGAAAAACTCACCCCGGTCCCGATAGAGCTCATTTTCAAACACTCTGTACTCAGTACAGATCTAAACTGTACTTCCGGGGTTATTCACCAACTTCCGGCTCCTGCCTTCACAATAAAAGTCTCGCAGCACATCAAAACTATTTTCGACACCTGCCTGTTTTTTCTCTGAATTCAGTAGCGTTCACACAGGATTTATTTATTTTTTTCAGTGTTGACAAAGTTTTGAGTCTCAGAACCAGCAAGTTGGATTACAGACTTGTTCAAAATTTAACTAACACTTTTGATTTATCCTCCTCCTGCTTTTTCAATCACACAATCTTCAACCAGGAATGGAAGCTTTACTCAGAAAAAAGTGAAGAAACATTCAGATACAGTTCAATAATAAAAAAGGGGAAATATGATTTTATTATAAAATAAAAGTTAACAAAACGACTGACATTAAGGCAAAACAATTTACCATCAGCTGGAGTTATAATTAAAAAAAAATCAAGAGAGAAAGTGACAGTGATGATTAGCGTTCATTAGTTTATACAAATACAAGGCTTTGTTACATTTCTGATTCTGAGATGACATTTAAATGAGGACAGGAACCAGAACCAGAACTCACCACTGCCATCACACAGCAGCAGACATTACACGGACTCACACAGAATCAAACTGGACCGCAACGGTTCCTGAAACAAAAACTTTTATTTTTACAGACCATTTCTGAAATTATTTATTTTTTCTTTATTTACCCGCTGTTCTGGAAACAAACTTTACATTTACTCATGAGGAAAAAATCTGACAACCAGGAGGAAATCGCTAGGAACCCAACTGATGTTTAGATTCATGTTTTTATTGGTTTAACTCGGTTTGTTCTTCAGGGCTCAGCAGAACCGGACCAGAACCAGTTCAATCAACAGGGGCAACCAAACTGGCACTGTCAGTTTTTTTTAGGTAACAGAATAAAAACCCTAACAGAGGGTTTACAGAAGGACTCATGTGAACTCCACTTAAGCTCCAAACTGACCCAGGTGGTTCTGCTGGATCAGAAAGGTGCTGCAGTTCTGACTTTGTGTCAGGAGGACCGGTGTAGGTTCTGGACCCTGTTCTTTTGGACGATGTGGGTGGGGATTTGGTTAGTGATGAACAAAACAGACTTTGTGTCATTTTTGTCTCTGTCGTGTCTCTGGTCCACAGTTCTCAGCGTTGTCCGTCCTCACAGCGGGTCGGGTCGGGCCGGGCCAAGCCGGATTGTTAAGTGGTACCTTTCAGAACGCTCACGCAGCTCTGCAGCAGCTGAAGGTTTCCCTGCAGGGGGCAGACACAAATCACACCTGTAAACACCTGTCCAGCCTCTGACATCACACAGCTCTGCTCTGACTGCTTGATCGGGTTCTGCAGGTTCTGTTGTGTCCAGAGCTGTGACTGATTGCTCCGAATGCTGCTGAGGGTTATGGAGTTCTGATCCGGACCCTACTGGGTCAGTACCTTTGCATGTTTGAGCTCCAGTTCTGCCAGCTCCACCAGGTTCTTCCTGAATGCCGCCACTCGTCTCGTCTTGAAATCGATGAGTTCTGGGTCGGAAAGAAACCAGAACCTTTAACAAATCAGAGGTCGGAACTGAAGGACGGGTCCAAACACCAACAGAACTCCTGATGGACGACTTTAATACGGGACGTTTTGGATCATGGTCTTTCTTCAGATGTGTAAACTCTAAGAGCATCTTTAAATACCCACAATTCAACACATGTTTAAAATCACAGACAGACGTTCTAGATCAACTTAAAGTGGAACCTGCAACATTAAAAATACATAAAATAAAACCCAAAGAACTTCACTTGATGACCTCTGACCCTTATCTGAAAACCCTCTGATCTCTAACCGATGACCTCTTGACCTTTACCTGAAAATGCTATTACCTCTACCCCGATGACCTCTACCTGACGTCCTGAACTTTACCTGACTATCTTTGACATTTACCTATCTTTGACCTTTGCCGGAAAACGCTCTAACCTCTACCCAATGATCTGACTTCTACCTGACAACCTCTGGTGTCTACCTGAAAATCCTCACCTCTACCTGATGACCTCTGACCTCTACCTGACATCCTGACCTTTACCTGACGATCTCTTAACCTTTACCGGAAAACGCTCTAACCTCTACCCGATGATCTGACTTCTACCTGACAACCTCTGGTGTCTACCTGAAAATCCTCACCTCTACCCGATGGCTTCTGACCTCTATCTGATGACCTCTGACCTCTACCTGACAACTCTGACCTTTACCTGGTTACCCAGCTGGTCACTGCAGACTGAAAACACTTGAAACACTCTATATTTAACTGAGCAGTGATGTGGTTTGGTGGGTCTCTTTCAGAAACAGTTTTTGGGATTGGGGGGGCAGAGAGACACGTCAGATGGGAGGGAGCCTACAGAGCGGAGGTGGTTCTACCTGGACCTGAACTAAATCCAACCTTGCTTGGCAGACTCGGAGATCTTCTCAAACTTGTGGCAGCAGAGCTGCTGGCTGGTCTCCGTCTGCAGGACGTCTCTGTTTTTGGCCCGAGCTTTATCCAGAGCCTTGTTAGCATTCTCGTAGTCCACCAGAGCTCGGCTCCTTCGGTACAGAAGGTCCTGCGGAAGAGGAGACATCATGAACAACATTTGTCCTCTGGACGTTCGTTCACTCTGGACTAAGAGGCAGTAAACAGGCGAACCTTGGCAGCCTGAGACTCTCTCAGGTAATATTTCAGAAGATCAGCCAGCTTCAGGTCTTTATCGGCTGCAACTCGAGCTTCAATTTTCTGTAAAAGCAGAAGACGACAGAAACACCATGTTCAAATACAGATGTTACAGATGTTAGTCTTCAAACCACAAATGGGTTCAATCAGCTCCGAAACAGAAATGAGCAACAGGAATGATCGTCTGATAAAAAAACTGAAGGTTTCTGAATCTTTTCTGTTTGATTCAGGCGTTTACTGGGGATCCATTAAGGCTTCAAGTACGATCACCGTTGCCACAGTAACGGGTCAAAAGATCTACAGTTAGTCTGCCTGAAGCCTCTCTGAAGACAAAGTTCAACAGGTTTACACATTTAAGACCACAGTGAGGACACTACTGATTAGTGTTCATTATAAATACAAATGAGGAGAGACTGAGCTCAGGACACATGTGCACTGAAAGGTGTCCAGGATCCAGATCTTTCAGATCACCAGATACGTCTGAACGCATCAGAGGAACACACATACCCTCGTTTTGTCGAACAGCTCGGACACTTTCAGGAAGAACCTGGAAGGAAACAAAAAAATCTGGTTAACAAGGAGGACAATGTTGTTGTTTCTGAATAAGAATGTTTTGTTTCTGACACATTTCAGTCCACATTCTGACCCGTTTCACTCCAGACTCTGAACCATTTCTCTCCAGATTCTGACCCGTTTCACTCCAGATTCTGACCTGTTTCACTCCAGATTCTGACCCGTTTCAATCCAGATTCTGACCCGTTTCACTCCAGATTCTGAACCATTTCTCTCCAGATTCTGACCCGATTCACCCCAGATTCTGACCCGATTCACTCCAGACTCTGACCCGTTTCACTCCAGACTCTGACCCGTTTCACTCCAGACTCTGAACCATTTCTCTCCAGATTCTGACCCGTTTCACTCCAGATTCTGACCTGTTTCACTCCAGATTCTGACCCGTTTCAATCCAGATTCTGACCCGTTTCACTCCAGATTCTGAACCATTTCTCTCCAGATTCTGACCCGATTCACCCCAGATTCTGACCCGATTCACTCCAGGTTCTGACCCGTTTCATTCCAGATTCTGACCCGATTCACTCCAGATTCTGACCCGATTCACTCCAGATTCTGACCCATTTCACTCCAGATTCTAACCAATGTAAGTCCAGATTTTGACCAGTTTCAATCCTGATTTTGACCAATTTTCGACCTGACTGATCAAACTCACACCAGATTCTGACCCGTTTGACCTCTTATTGTGGTGTAGTAACAGATCCTTGGTGTTCAGGTGGGGTCCGACAGGTGAGAACAGGTGTGTCAGATAAAGATGTTTGTGTTGAATAAAGGTTGGTTGTTCGTACTTGCAGAGGTCCGTGGACTCTTGTGTTCCTAACGTGTAGAGAGATGAAGCGATTCTGTTCATGTCATCAGCAGCATCTGAACAGAAACATCATCAGACACAGCCTCATTAAAAAGATCAAAGGAAGAAAAACAGAAATGTTCCTTTTCATCTGCTTTAATCCAGATTTTATTCCGAGGAATATGTTCTTAATTATTTAATAAAAACTAAACAAAGTTCCTGAAACAGTCCCTCATTTCTCCGTTGGCATTTTTAAACCCTTACTTTTATGGGAGCGGATCATTCGGTCACATTTGGCTGAAGAATCTTTGACTCTGTTGTGATATTCTAACAGAAACGTCTTTTCGTGCTCGAAGAAGTCATCCACGTCCTGAAACAGACCAGAACTGACACTGACCCTCTGACTTGATAAAAGCCAGCTGTGATGAGGGGGTGGGGGGTCTGTGTGTTCGCACCTTGACTCCGGCCACCAGGACACCATCAGCTGACTTCACCACGTTCTTAAAGAAATCCTCCAGTTTCTCCTTCTTGTTCTTCCCTCGAACACTCAGCTGAAATGAGACACCGTCGCAGGTTCAGCCCAATGACAGGTAAATCCAGGAGTTCTGCTCGACCCGGTTCTGATACTCACATCCTGGTTGTACTCCAGGAAGATGTGGAAGTTCAGGTCCTTCCTGAGGATGGGATGAGCGGCTACGCGACACAGGAAGACCTCGTGCATGGCCACGGTCTTCTTGAAGATAGCCAGGTACTCTCTGAGGGACAACACAACACAGGTGTGTGTGTGGTGGTGGTGGGGGGGGGTTTACAAAGGATGCCACAGTGTGGGGGGAGGGGTTACAGAGGGATTGAAGGTGGTGGGGGGGGTTACTCACGCCTCCAGCTCCTGCTTCATCTTTGTGAACTCCTCCTTGGTCATGGATCCTTCTCCCTCTCCCAGCTTCTGCAGCTTCTCTCTGGATGCATCAAAGTCGGGTCTGGGCGGGGCCGGGGGAATCTGGACCGACACAAACAAACAAACAAATAAATAAATAAACACCTAAAGTCACATTTTTGTGTTGCTGAAGCCATGCACCTGACAGAGACCATCTGAGCAGTGCAATGGAAAAACAAACCAAAGATCTTCTGTTTTTATTTAACATTTTTTTAGTTTTCAGAAGCCAGTAAACACATCATCATCATCATCATCATCATCATAGAGAAGGAACTAAAATAAACAGTTCAGTTCAGGGACTGAACCTGAATGCGGTTCTGTGCCACCAAACACTCTCCACAAGGTCCGGTTCTGCAGAACAGATCTACGTGGTACCCTTCCAGTGATCTCACTGTGAAGCCCGCTCCCTTCCACCATTTCAGCTTTGGACTCGGTTCTGTTCTGCAACTCTGACCCTGAAGTCGGTCCCACTCCCCGACCAAAGTTCAGTTCTGAGACTCTTATGACCCGGTTCAGTACTCACGATGTATCCTGCATAGTCTTCGTTTTCCACGAACGAGTCGTGCAGCCAGATGAACTCTTCGTGCTGCCGCACCACAGAGAACTCGTTCTGTTTGAAGTTGGGGAGCGTGCTCTGTGGAAACGGGCCGTACGTTAGCAGAACCTTGTGACAGAACTCGGACGGGCCTGGCAAAGTGCAGAGCCTTACCTTGGTGTGGACGGTGAACTTCACCTTGTCTCTCTCGCTGAGAGCATCAGAAATATCGACCTGCAGCGTGGCGTCCATCTCCAGATCCACGTTCACCGCTCGAGGCTGCAGGAGCAACATCAAGACCATTACAACCAGGAACCAGGAGGCCCACAACATTGATCCAGAACCAGGACTACCAGTCAGAATGTCCACAACATAATCTAGAACCAGGACGACCAGGATGAAGGTCCATAACATCAGAAAACAACGTTTGAATCAGAACATCTGACTCAGTGGGTTTTACTTCCAGAACCTCTGTGGAACAGATGATGGGTGTTGAATCATGTGACAGCCTGGTCCTGTTGGACCCGAACCGAACCAACAGTAGAACCATGTTGATAAACCGTTAGTTAGCGGGTTCAACTAGAGGCCTGTGGACTTATCCATCAGAACCGGGCTCACTGTTCGAACTGTGGTCCAGTCTGAGCCCAGTTAAATAGATTTAATGCATGTTAGCATGAAGCTAACGTTAGCATGAACGGCTAACCGGACCGAAACCGGACCCAGTGACTGACTGTAGAACGGAACCAGAACGAACGAACTCGGACCCAGGCGACAGGTGACCAGAACCACAGGTCCACATATAAGACAAACAGGCGGACACTTACTCCCCGGTCCTCCTCGGACAAGAAATCGGGTCCGTCGTCCAGCCCTTCCTGCTGCAGAGACACAAACACAGGTCCATTAGTTTATCGACACCGGAACCTTATCAACACAAAGGCAACAGTAGGACGTCACGAGGCGCCCGGTCAATGAACCGAACCGAACTTAGAAACAGGATAAACAGAAAGGGGAAGAGGAACATTGAAACCCACCATCATGGCTGCGAACGGCTGGGGACAGGAAGTGGACAGGGTTGCCAGATCCCGTGACAAAAACACGCAATCAGAGGAAAAATAAATAAACAAACAAACAGTAAAATATTTGTTTTACATAATGCAGTGAAAATGAGTTGCTGACAGCTTATAAAAATATTTTTTATTGTTTACTGAGACACAATCGTTTACTTCCAAGTTCCAACAAAAGTCGTCTCAGAACACTGTACATACACATTCACATACATTTTAAAAGCCAATTAGTAAAAGATATCTATTTAAGGAAGCCAGCAGATTGTGTTGAATCCACTTCATCACAGTCTCCCATCCAGAGCCAAAAGGCAACAGTGGAAAGGGAAAAACTCCCTTTTAACAGGGTTTCATGGACAAATATAACTATGATACGTATCATCTGCATAACAATGAAATTTTATCCCATGCTGTTTAATAACTTTGCCTAATGGAAGCATATATATAAAATAAAGAGTATTGGTCCAAGCACTGAACCCTGAGGAACTCCATGACTAACTTTGATATATGAAGATTCATCATTTAGATTTATAAATACAAACCGGAGTCTATCAAATGATTTAGAACAGTTCCTGTAATCCCAATATCATACACAGTAAAATATTGTGATCGACTGGATCAAATGCAGCACCGAGGTCTAACAGGACCAAGTCATTTTGTCAGAGGCCATGAGAATATTGGTAAAAAATCTTTCTAATGCGAATCTTTCTGAATTATTGAGTCATGAAAATTTACCAGTTAGGACAAATAACACACTGATATTTTATTTTTATAATAAAAACAATAAGTAGCCTAAGTACAGAGCTGAAGTTGATAAAACAAACAAAAAAAAAAAAACATGAGCGAATCAAAAGTAGCACAAGGCTAGCTAAAATAAGAATGCTATAGTTCTACCTACCAGCATCTAAGCAAAAAAGTTGTAGGTTAGCTTTAAAAAACAAACAAACAGCTAAACACAAATGTATCAAAAGGCTAACTAAATATAAATGCTAGCAAGAAGCTAAAAGTATCAAAAGGCAAGGTAAAACTATAAAAAAAGCTAGTTAAGTAGAAAAAGACTACAAGTAAAAAATAACAGCAAAGCTAGCTAGAAGTCAAAAATAGCAAAAAGGCTATCTAGAAGTTAAAATAAGCAAAAGCCTAGATACAAGTAGCTAAAAGACTAGCTAGAAGCTAAAAGTAGCACAAGGCTAGCTAGAAGCTAAACATAACAAGGGACACTAGAAACTAAAAGTAGGAAATGTAAGCAATAAGTATAAACTAGTTAAAAGCTAAATGTTGTAAGCTAAAAGTTGCCACAAGCTAGCTAAAAGCAAAAAATAAGCAGGCTCACTAAAAGCTAAATGTAGCAGGGCTATCAAGAAGCTAAAAGTAGCAAGAGGCTAGCGAGATGCTAAAAATAAGTTAGCTATAAGCTAAAAGTAGTGAAAAGCTACTAGGTTTCCACTCCAAGGCCTGGAAACTGGACTGCGCTTTCCTCAGGTTGATCCTGGGATCTTCTGGTTCCTGAAAATGTCAGAACTTGACCGACCCATTCAAACTCACCGCGCTTCAGGTCAGTTATATATAACGGTTCTTGTCAGTTATATATAACTGACAAGAACCAATGTTGAGATCTCAACATTGGTTCTTGTCCCAGTGTTTCTGATGAGACAGTCTTGTTGTACAGGAACTGGTTTTGACTTTGTTCTATCTGGGTTCCAACAAGTTCTGCTGGGATTTCACAGGTTCTGTTGCGGATAACGTTCAGACCATGAGTCGAGTTTAGTTCTGGTGAGATCCCAGGGAAAAGATCTTGGTGGATCAAACCTGACTTGCTTTAGACAACTGTGATAAGCTCTTGGTCCAGAAAACGGTTCCTGACAGAACCACTTTACCTGAAGGAACCCAGAATCCAAACAGAACCTTCAGGTTGAAGTTGTTTCTGTTCCTCTTGTTAAGAAACAGAACCATGACCTTTGACCTCTGCTGCCAAGCCTTTGTTTCTTTTCAGTAAGCCGGATGACAACCCGGGTAGAATGAAGAGCAGCAACAGGAGTTAAATTAAACCGGTGCATGCAAAGTTTGTCATTACCGGCAAACTCGGCTGGTTTAGATTCTAATTTATTACATCTGGACCATCAAACCACCAGAATTGTTAATCAGTCATGTGGTCATAATCTGGACAGAGAATGTAGCTGAAAGAGCACAAACTACACCCTCGTGACTGCGTTGTCAGCCGGCCTGTAAATGGTGTGCAGATGTAAACGCCACAAAACCTTTTAGCCAGGTGGGGGAAAAAAAATGAATCTGGACTGGTGAAACAGGCTACACATCATTCACAGACCAGGTGATAAAGTGGCTACCTAGGTGGGCGTGGTCTGAGCTCCTTTTTTTTTTTTGACAACACCCCTCTCAGGACCCGCCCCTAAAGTAGATGATCCACACAACTGATGTAAACAAAACAAAGCTGTTTTGCTGCCAAGAGATCGAAATGTGATGAACCACTTCCCACACAGTAAAATAAGCAGCCTGCTCTGTGATTGGTGGAAACGGGTGAAGCTGCTCTGATAGGTGGAAACGGGTGAAGCTGCTCTGATTGGTGGAAACGGGTGAAGCTGCTCTGTGATTGGTGGAAACGGGTGAGGCTGCTTTGTGATTGGTGGAAACAGAAACAATCAGTCAACTTGTCTGCCACAGGCTTTTATTGCAAAGTGGCTTCCTGTGATCTCAGAAACAACGTTCCACTTTAAGGCTCCAGATGTTTTTTGTATTTTTAGGGGGAAGGGGGGGGGGGGTCATCTCTCACTGCTGAAGGGATATGGGGGGCGTCAAACCTGCTTCCTGTAGTGCTTTCTTTACAAAATAAAAGTACGGTACACCAACTCTGCTGTGAAGTTACATTCAAACTGAAAGTAAGGCGATGACCTGGAGGAAAATCAACTGAGGTAAACAAAGCTCGTCTCGGGAAAACACCGATACACAATTTAAAGTCAGGATGTTTAGTGTTTGAATAACAACGGATGCATAGTCTAACAACATGTCTTGGGTACAGCTGAGAGGAACCAACAGGGTACAATAATAAATAAATCATATGTAAAAAGCATGATGAGTGCGACCCGTGTGCAGCAGGAGGAAGTGCTTCGCGGTGCTCTCCTCCCAAAACGTGGCTGCTTCCTTCATGGACTTTTTGGCAAAACTCTGGCTGTGTGGGAGAGAGACACCCTTCCTAGGGGAGGGGGGTTGGTAGTGTTTTTCTTCTTCGATTTCTGCCAGGTGAACGCATCACATGGCAACAAACTGCAAGGTGTTTGCATATAATCACGTTAATGAGATCTCCTTCATGTTGGAAAAAATAAAACAAAAAGACAAAAGAAAGAGGCCTAAAGACGCTAACACCTTCAGGACATGGATATAGACAGAGCAAGCTGCTGGGTGAAGTAGCGGCGGTCAGGTGGAGGGAAGGGGTGGTTGCTTCGGTCCTGATGGCACGGCGGTTGGCTTGGCTCCGCTCGATTGGCCGCCATTACATCACAGCGGTTTACCCTCCAGGGACACCACCACGTTCCCGCCCAGTTTCTCAGCCAGCGTCTGGCGGTCCTGGATGTCGTCCAGCCCGTTCACCTGCCACTCGTGTTTGATACCTGCAGGAACACGTTTGGGGTCAGTGACCACGCCCACAACAAACACACAGATGCAACATCAACACACCCGAAGGACGCTCTTCAACTGTGAGATGTTTTTATGGAAAGTGAAGTAAAGAAGCAAAACATCCTGAAACAAATGTTCCTCACACACGAGATTAAAAAAACCTGCTGCGGTTCAGGTCGAGACAAAGATCTAAAAACGCTCAACTTTACAGTGAAGAGGCTCAACTCGACACGGTTCTGATGGAGCGGTGTATAAAAATAACTGAATGAGTGTTTGTGATTAAATTCACCAAACAAAATGCTAAACTCTACTTCTGACTTAATGTGTTGAACCTTTATTCTATTTTTATTTTAAATCTTTGAATCTCGGACACGACTTGGACAACATTCTGAGAAATCAGGAACAGAATCAGTGACCCGGTTCATCTTCTCACAGATCAGTGGGTTACGAGCCGAGCCTCTGGTACCATGTTGACCCAGCCATGCTCAGAGATCCTCGTGTCTGGTTCTGGAAGCTCTCAGTTCACTCTTGAACTGGACTCAAATCACATCTTAGCGTGTCACAACACTCACCTGTAAACTTCTTTTTGATGGCATCTTTAGAGCTGGCGTAGATCATCTTGCTCTTCAGAGGAGCATTCTCAGGAGCCCTGTGGACACATGGAGGGAATGAGGTTTGATTTAATCTTCTAAAGCTGATTATTTGATCTTTAACCCAGAACTGAAGGCAGATTTTATTAAATCACCTTACTGAGGCCTTGGGTGTTTTAATAAACTGCAGCACTGATGTTTTGTTGAAAACTGTCGATATACTCTCAATATATTCTGGATATTTTACCTTCTACATGAAAAGTTGTTAAAAAACAAATAAGCCCTACAATAAGATGGAAGTGAACTGCAGTGATTTTATTTGGTTTATTCAGTAGCCTACGTTTGAATAAATAGTTTAAGGCAAAGGAAAACCTCACATTTAAGGCAGTTCATGGTTATAATTAGGTTTCTGTGCTGATTTAGAATTTGAGCCAAAGTTCATCTGAACTGTGGTTTTTATATTTTAAATCTTTTAACACGGTTACTTTTGGAAAGTTCCGGGCCTTTCCAGAGTCAAATTTAGACAAGTAAATTTCCTGGAGACGTACGAGACAAACTTGCACGTCTAAGCTCCAAACAGCAATAAAGTGCTGCCATGTTTATGAAAAATACAAACACGACCTGCAAGTCATTTAAAAGTGAAATGTTTCCAGTTTTTAGTACAATCAGTGCGTTTACATCAGTCTTTTTCTAAAAGAGCTTCACATAAACAAAAAATTAACGCCAACTAGAATTATCACAGGAAATATGCCTAAAACTGTTTAGTAAATTCAGCTGCTTCAACACAAAGTCCACAGACTAACTGAGATTATAATCAGATTATAGAAACATTTCACCTAAACAACTATTTTTTACAGCAGATCTGTATTCACACACAAGTTTTTAATCTAACGTCTCTCCCCCACGTGTTTCATGTGGAAGGACTGAAACGACCAACCTTGGCTCTCTCCTCCATTTTAATTTGGTCATTCACATCATTTAGACGTTCTGCTAAAAACTCAATGCTGGCTGTGACTTTCTGAGCTCTCCCGGTGGACTCACCCCACCTGAACGTCTCACAGCTAGGCTGCAGCAAGAAGTTGGGGGGGGGGGGGGGGGGGGTGTCAGGACCTATTTTTAGATCCATTGCAGACATGGAAGGTCCCAAATCAATTCTCAAATGTCAAAAATAGATTTTGTTAATCTGCTGCCGATGTACGATTCAGCAGTTGCAGTTTGTCCCAGCAGAGTTCCCGTAGCTTCCTGCTGTAGAAGCACGTTGCAGCAAAGCGGATTTATTTTACATCGTTTAGCTTTTATTCGCTAAAGATGATCTGTCTGCAAATATTTAAAGTTAGCAGTCTCTAAAGAGATTCAAATGTTTGATTTGTGTTTAAGCTTCCAGACATAAAGATGCTAAACCCGATAGCTCTGCTGTCATTTTCAATGTTAAGTTAGCATCTACGCTAATTGTTGGTCAGCAGCCGGATTAATAAGGTTTTATTTTTTTAATGCATGTTTTGTGCACTCCTTAGAAAAGGTTTTAAAGCATACAAATCAAAGTTTGTGTAACATAAATCGCTTAAGTTAATGATTAACTAATAATTGAAACACTCCAATAATGAAGTGGAAGGTGGCTAAATAAATGCAATTTGTTGATTACATCACGTGAGTAATCATTTGGAGCAGAAATCAAAACAGTACTTGATTTTCTGCTCGGCTCTAATTAATTTGTGATCTTCAAACCACGGCTGAAGTTAGTCTTTTGGACAAAATGATGTTCCTCATTTAAATAAAATTAACTTTATATGTTTTAGGGCCAGTGAGGGATCTGTAACAGGTTAATAATGTGTAGACTTGCAGTCAAACCTGAGGCTACAGCGAGTAACTGGGGTTTACGTCAACGTATGGAGGGACTGTGGGCCGAACCGCAAACCTTGACAAGTTTAATGAACCTTAAACCCGAGGCTTAATCTATCCTTTTTTATAAAACGCGTACAAAAGAAGATTTTCGTCTTTTAGATAATTGTTTCTTTAATCAGCATATTAGGAAAATCCAAAAAGCAGACTTTTTCTAGACTCCACCTGAAGGAGACCCAGACATAGAAACGTCAGTACTGTACCAGAAGATGAAGACCAGATCCTCTTTCTTGGACTCCTTGGTTTCGTAGGTGGCGTCGTACAGGCCGTATCTGCAGTCGCTGAGGGGGAGGAGCTTAACAAAGGTGCCGTAGGGGTCATCCACGGTCTCCCCGATGTCTCCAACCAGGATCTGTTTCCCCTCCTCCACGATGATCTTCTTCCTGTCATCGCTCAGACAGAACAGCACCGCCTTCTTCCTCTTCTTCACTTCGTCTTGGGTAGAAGACTTCCTCACCTTCATGTCATTGAAGACCTTGATGACCTCATCGTCCACTGTTACACCTGATGCCTACAAGGAGAGAAATCACACGTCACGCGCAGCATCTACAACAGAACCTAAAACCACACGTTTCCAAGACAACCTTAAATCAGGCTAACTGTAGTCGGAAATCTAACTAATTAACCCCAGCTAACAAAAACCAAGTCAACTGTAACCTGGTGTTTAATGAATTAACATGAGCTAAACTGGTGTTTAATGATTTAACCCGAGCTAATTGTAACCTGGTAATTAAAGAACTAACACAAACTAACCTGGTCCAGATGACCCAAAGAAGAAACTGGACCAGATGACACAATTTTATCCTTTTTGATGTCATCTACCTGGATGATTGAGCTTACAAACCTTTTTCCAAACCAACCTGGTCTTTAATAAATAAACCCAAGCTAATCTGGTCTTTAATTAATTAACCTGAGTTAACGGTAACCTGGTATTTAATGAATGAACAGAGCTAACCTGGTAGTTAATGAATAAACCTGAACTTACTGTAAACTGGTATTTAATTAATTAAACCAAGCTAAATTGGTCTTTAATGAATTAGCCCGAGCTAACTGTAACCTGGTATATAATGAATTAACCCGAGCTAACTGTAACCTGGTATATAATGAATTAGAGCTAACTGTAACCTGGTATATAATGAATTAGAGCTAACTGTAACCTGGTATATAATGAATTAGCCCAAGCTAACTGTAGCCTGGTAATTAATCTGAGTTAACCTGGTATATAATTAATTAACCCGGGCTAACTTTAACCTGGTAATTCATGAATTAACACGGGCTAACCTGATATTTAAAGAATTAACCCGAGCCAACTCGATATTTAATGAATTAACCCGAGTTAACCTGGTATATAATGAAGTAACCCGAGCTAACTGTAGTCTGGTGTTTAATGAATTAACCCGGGCTAACTTTAACCTGGTAATTCATGAATTAACACGGGCTAACCTGATATTTAAAGAATTAACCCGAGCTAACTCGATATTTAATTAATTAACCCGAGCCAACTGTAACCCGGTTTAGGATGGCTACTGAAAAAACGCTGACACAGTAAACTCCAGCCTTTGAGGCCTCAACTGGGCCCTTCAGTCAATGCTCCTGGAACCAGCCTGACCTCCTAAAACGATCTCATCGCCCAGCAGTTCGGCTAGACCAGATGTGTCCGGCCCAGCAGGAGTACGGCGTAGGTAAGATGGCCGCCTGGAGGCACACGGCCGGAGGGAAGGGTCGGCCCCAGCACGGCATGGGTTCCACCGAAACCAAACCCAAACACCTCAATACATCTGTTATCGATTGAAGTTTTAAAAACGATATGGAGGGAAATACCGGTGCCAGAACCTCTTCCAAGTCTCTAAATCACCGAATAAATGTCCGAGTGTGCGGACTAAAGTAGCGGCTGCCATGCTAGCTAACAACACGCTACCCGACGAGGCAACGGTTTCTGTAGAGCCGCAGCCTCCATACGGCTACCGAACCGAGTACTCCGAACCTCTATTCAACCATGGGGACCGCCTCCAACTGGTTCTTACCATTTTGTTCCGAGGTCTGCCCGCACTGCGTCGCTTATAGCTGAGAGTTTCTTCGGGGGTGAAAGGTAGCAGGGAATGTAGCCGGCTGACCAGAGGAGGAGGACTAGCCGAGGGGCGTGGCTGATGGTCAGAGACGACGGGGCGGGGTTAGTGTAGGCGGGGCCTAAACACAGTTTTTTTTTTGGTTTGTTTTTTGTACGAACCTTGTTAGGCTTGTCACAATGGTGAATTCGATTCAAAAGTAACTTTATTTAACATGTTCTTGTTTTTAGTATTTTACATTACTTTATAATGTAGCTGTTTTAGTTTCGTTTTCATTTCATTTTCATTCATTCAACCTTTATTTATACAGGTTAGTCTCAACCTGGAGGACTCATTTACAAGAGAGACCTGTTCAAAGTGGATAATGTGTCCGCCTTTCATTCAACTGGACGTTGGTTCAACAAGAGAGGAGCCTGATAACTGAAAGATCTTCCTCTCATTCTGCTTTTGGAAACTGCAAGGGAGGCCTAGGCCTGAAGGCAGACTATGTAATCAATCAACCTTTATTTATACAGGTAAATCCCATTGAGCCTCGAGGACTCATTTACAAGAGAGACCTGATTTCAACAAAGAAAGATGACAACAATGGACAACAGCAACAACAATAAGCAGAATATAATATAAGATGGAGCTAGGTTGTTGAGAGCTTTGTAGGTTAGATGTAAGATTTTGAATTCTATTCTGAATTTGACAGGGAGCCAGTGGAGAGAAGCTAAAACTGGAGAGATATGGTCGAGATCAGAAAACACACAACAAAATATATTTTTAATTCAAGCAAGTATGTTTTATAGAATACCGTTATTTTCAAATTTTAAATCAAATAATTTAGCGCCTGTCCTACATACTCCAGTACAGTAAAGATAGCAGTATGTAGCCATTAAAAACAAGAAAGAAGAAGAGATTACCATTCACCATCTAAGATGAGGGCCGAGATGGTGTAGAGGCAGGGCAGCCAGCTTGGGACCCAAAAGTCCCAGGTTCAATCCCCAGTCACTGCACATCACGTGGCGTCTCTGGGCAGCACACCTCATCCCCAAAATGCCCCCCGGCACCCTCAATAGCTGCCCACCGCACCACCCGGCGGTGGATGGGCTAAATGCAGAGACTAATTTCGCCATTGTATGGAAACATACAGTGCTGACATTGTGATGACATTATTATTAATTAAAAAAAGTCTATTGTATTGTTTTTGCTCATTTGTGTACAATTGTTTGTTTGATGTTAGCAAAATATCTCACGAACCTTTGGTTGAATGCCAATGAAACTTTGGGTCAAAATAATTATTTTGTCATTTCTTATCATAAGTGATTTTCCTAGTCTAATACTCTGGCACAAAAGACAGCAGGCAATATGTATTCCTTCAAGGAATGTGATTATTTGTTGTTTTGTTTTGTTGCCTTCTATAGTTTGTCTCCATCTTACATTGCCAGGACCTGCTGCATTTTTATGAGATGAAACAGTAATTTGCTCTGTGACAGGAGTGATGCCACACTGGGAGAAAATTACAAACAAAGGGAAAATTAGAAGGAAAAAATGGATGAAATTAGCAACAAAAAAAAAAGCTAAAAAGTAGCTGAAAAAACCAGAAGAAAGCTAGAATTGTCAAAAAGAAACTGTAAATAACCAAAAAATAAATAAAAGGAGTTGAAAATAGCTGCAAAAAGCAGAAAAAAAGCTAAAATAAAAAGAAATCAGCAGCTGAAGAAAGCTGAAGTTAAGCTGAAAAAGGTTGAAGCAAAACAACAGCTGAAATTAGCTGTAAAAGGCTGTAAACAGCTAAAGGGTTGGAAGTCTGTGAAGAGAGCTGCAGTCATTTTCCATGAGAAAAACATGGCAGACAAAGCTAAACGTTTCAAAAAGTTAAAATTGCTCAAATACCAAAAGTCAGAGCAGGAATGTCCTGAATGAGCCGAACGTTTTGAGACATGAATTGCTGAAATAGAACAAAAATAGCTGGACGGGTTACGTGCTGAAAAACGGATCTGAACAGTGAGGATGATTTAAAAACATTTAGACAGTAAAATGTGAAAAGGCAGAAGATTAAGGATAACTTGTGTTTTCCTTTGATTTATCACAACTCTAAAGACGCTGAAGTATTTTCCTCTCCGTTTGAGCTTCAGTAACATCAGTTTATTAAATAAAATCTGCTTCAGTCTGAAGGAATATAAAGTGACGGTGAAATGAGGTTTGTGGGGAAAAGCACAAAGTTTATGGCCTCAAAGATGTGATCATGTTGGAGCAGCAGGTGGCGATGCAGGACCGGCTCTGGTTCTGGGTGGAGGCCTGGGGCCTGCTTCACCTCCCAAACAGCCACTCAGCTGTTTTACTGTCAGCTGGCTCAGGACAAAAGACTAAAATCATTTCTTTTTCAGATCAGTCACTCACCACACCTGTAACTCTGCACTTTTCTGTCATTTGTCATGAAAAGAGTGAACAAAGAGCTGAATCGTGGAAGAAACTGATGAAAACATAAAACTTTGAATCAAACGGAGCTCAAAGCAATAAAAAAAATTACACTTAATTTTGCCGTTACTCTTTTAAAATGTTTGATATATGGTAGAAATTAATGAATAATGTTGTTGTTTTTTATTTTCAAACATATTTTTACTCCCTGGCCTTCCACACAGAGCGGCATGTTGACTGAGGTTTTACTGAACTTTGATTTATCTGTTTTAGCTGTTTCATACTCAACACTTCCTGCAGGTTTGAGCATTCTTTAGCTTTTGTTCTGTGCTCGTTCATTTTATCAAACATCTTTTTGGTTGGTCTTCTTCTTGTTTTACAAATAAAGTGGTACGGTGCTAAAATACGTTATGTCTGGTTTATTTCTAAGAGAAAGCAGGAGCGATCAGAGCTCCTTCCTGGCTTTAAAGGGATATTTTGGATCTTGTAAAATGTGATTTTGTGGAAAAGTTGCAATTTTCATTCACAGTTGGAGACCCGTTGGTGAGCAGGATTCATCGACTCAGTGACTCGACTTCATCGAGATCAGCATCATGTCTGTTGCAAAGACCTTTTTGAATAACTTTAGTTTAGAGAAAGAGTTTAATTCTGACAGGACTGATGAGTTACTAATGGAAAATCAGCCACTTCACTTAATAACCAAACTTCTACAAATCAAATCCCTCCTACAAGTCAATCCTCAGTTAATCACACCTTCTCTTTTTCTCCATTCTCAGTCAGTGAGGTCAATAAACTGTTAAAAGATCTTGATCCTAAAAAATCTGCAGGTCCAGATGAACTTCCACCTTATTTCCTAAGGCTGGCTGCTCATATCATCACAGTCCCTGTGACCCACATCTTCAATCTCTCCATAAGACAAAACTCCATTCCAGATGCTGTAAAACAGCCATTGTTCTTCCTTTGCTGAAGGGAGGTGACCCCACCTCACTGAACAACTATCGACCAATCTCTAAACTCTGCATTTTAGCCAAGGTTCTAGAAAAACTGATAAACTCTCAAATCAAAAATTACCTGGACTGATTTAACATCTTACCTCCACATCAATCTGGTTTCAGGAAACAACACAGCACAACCACTGCTTCACTGAAGGTTCTTAATGACGTTGTTGAAGCACTGGATGCTAAGGATTATTGTGCTGCACTTTTCTTAGACCTGTCTAAAGCTTTTGACACTGTGGATCAGAACATCTTGTGTCATAAACTCTCAGAAAATGGTTTCTCAGAACACACCATTGGTTGGTTTTCTAACTATCTTTCAGACCGGAGGCAATGTGTTCAACATAATGGTAATTCCTCCAGTTATTTAACAGTCAACAATGGTGTACCACAAGGCTCAGTCTTAGGACCCACCCTCTTTACAATCTACATACATAATGTAGGTCAGAGCATCCTTGACGCATCCATACATTTCTATGCTGATGACACAGTTGTTTATTGTCAAGCTAAAACAGTTGATAAGGCTTTTCAGCTTTTGAAATTTGCATTCAACAACATCCAGACTAATTTGTTCCGTCTCAAACTTGTCCTAAATGCCGACAAAATCAAAGGGATGTTTTTTTCAAATAGGAAGTTGGTACCAGCAGTTTTTCCTCCGATTTTATCCTCAAACGGTGTCCCTATTGAGTTTGTTGATTCCTATAAATATTTGGGTATCTTGGTCGACTCACATCTCTCTTTTAAGCTCCATGTGGAAAACTTGATAAAGAAACTGAAAGTTAAACTGGGTTTCTTTTTCAGAAACAGATCCTGTCTAACTGAATGCTAGAAAACGCCTTGTATCTGTGACTTTCCTTCCCTCCATTGATTACGGTGACATTATTTACATGAACGCTCCTACAAGAACCCTGCAGATGTTGGATGCTGTCTATCATGGTGCACTAAGATTCATAACTGGCTGTGATTATCGTACCCACCACTGCACCCAGTATTCACTGGTTAACTGGACATCATTAACTTCACGCAGACTCTCTCACTGGTACATTTTCATCTTTAAATCACTTCTTGGTCTGCTACCTTCATACATCTCCTCCTACATGTCTCTGCGTGAGTGCAGCTACAGCGTGCGCTCTCAGGACATTATTACCTGCAGTGTTCCCTCAGTGAGGACTGAACTAGGCAAAAGGACCTTCTCCTACTCCGCTCCTGTTTCCTGGAATATCTTACAAAAAGATTTGAAGCTCTCGACCTTGACCTCTCTAAGTGGCTTAACCTGTATAAATAAAGGTTGAATGAATGAATGAGTTCGCAGCACTTCCTGCAGGATTTCTGTAAAATTTCTGTCAGAATAACAGCAATGGTGGTGAATGTGTTTGATCTTTAAAGGTGACATAAATTCATGAGAAGGTCGTGATTTAAAGTCATTTTAAGATGGTTAAACTTACTTACTATCTGTTAGCTCGTCAATCGGGTCAGACTCAGACCGGCATTTAAAAAGCTATCTGCAACAGGTAAGATATTAATTGTTGATGACCTTTAAGTCCAAATGGACAAATTTCCACTGGTTGATGATCCTTCACGGGCTGTTTACATTTCTTCTTTTCACCAAGATGTTTGTTTGGTTTGGCTGACAGTTTACTTCGACTGTTGGATTGGTTCGGCTGTTGTTTTTTTTTATTTCAGCTGTTGCTG